TTTTAAAGGTTTGATGTAACAGCTATGTTGCTTTTCACCACCTTCAGGGAGCTCAGCATCACAGTGGATGCATATTGGAATTTTACACACGTGTTTTTTAGCTGTGTTGTGATACAGATGTTTACATTCTTCACAATATGTCACAGAAAAGCAAGGTATTCTATCGTGGACGGGGTCAGGGAGTTTATGCTGATTAAAGCAGTGGGTAGATTTACAGATGCGTTTACATTCAGGACATTTAATTGTTTTGTTTTTCCCTACGGTTTCACATTGCGTGTAACAGATGTTACATAGGTATTTACAGAGATGCTGCAAACTAGTACCGTATGGCTTGAGACAGTATTTGCACACATATGGACTCCCAAAGAACCCCGTTTTATTTTTGATATGATAGTAATGATTCTCATAAAGGTATAAGGCTATTGTGCATTCGTGCATTCTATCCTGTGTTTCAAATGATTGAAGACGTTTAGTCGGTGGATTGTTGTGAAAAACCACAATTTTTATGTTCAACAGATTCTCAAACTTTGACACATCATTCAGTGTCACGTTTGTTTGTTGATCCAGACCAACTGCAGCTTGCCACTCTTTGGCTTTATCGAGTAATTTACTATGGGTATAGTTCGCATGAAATGCATGAGCTATACACATGGCAAAACACATGGCATTTTCGGTATTGTGAGGGTTATAAAGAAATTTACCTTTCTTTAGCAATATTGTGTCGTAGGCTACAGCACCAAGTTTGAGCCGCTGACCACCACCACTTTGTGAATGTGCTATACTCACTATTAATGTCATTTCATCGTCTATAATGGACTTGTCGTTACTTTGTAACACTTTTTCCACTTCCTCTAAAAAATGGTCAACATTGTAGTCATTGTCAGAGTTCAAAATAACTTGAATATCGTCACTAAGCGAGGGCCCTCGTAATGCAACATTCATCACACATCCTTGCTCTGTATTGTTTACAGCGTGTGTTATTAACCCTGTTAATTTTTCATTTACTCTTTCACAAGCCTTTACGGTATCTGTAGGGTCTATACCTCGAAAATCAATGTGCTCAGACATTACCGTGGTATTAAACTCTGGTATTATGTTAACATGGACCTCCCCACCTGATTGTACGTTAACGGGGATATCACTTTGTTCAGTAATCTGTACAACACCCCCCACTTGTATGGTATCGTTACCCTCATTAGCATTGTCCCCCCGGAGGTCTGCCTCTGTGTGAACTATACAATTTCTTGAAACAGTTGTAACATTGTTGTGTCGATTTAAAACAGAGCTGTGTCTAGGTGACTCGTCATTTTGTGTATCCATTTCTATAGTTTGACTATTTATACCCACACAGTTGTTTGAAGGGTGTTGTATTGCGGGTTGAATAGTATCTTTACTTATTGACTGGTTAACAACATTATCAGCATTTGAGGTAATGTCTGCTAGCGGAGGCCTTTCAGCTATGACATGGGTCGGTGCTATTAACCGTTCTGCAGCATGGGATGCACTTTGATGATTTGTGCGAATTAGTTGATCAATACACGGATACGTGTTACGCGTTGTTTGATAATTAGTACGAATTAAACGTTCCACACATGCATAAGTGTTAGAGCGCTGGCCATAATTAATTCTTATTTTTTTAGGAAGTTGTGAGGGTGCTGTAGCGTTAGGCCTTTTAGTGTGTTTCACAATCGTAAGCATTTTCGATGGCTTTCAAATGAGAAGTGTTTTCATTGATTTGCTCTATAGCAGCCGCTATAGACGTGCTCGCTTGGTTATCCACTTGTTCAATTCTATCAGCTATTACGTTTCCCGTGTTTTTAAGCTGCTTGATTTCGGTAGTCAAATTTTGAATTTGTATTTCCCCGCGTAAGGTTTTTGTTTCTAATTCCCTGTTGTGTATAGAGGTTTTCGTGTATTGAGTTTGCAATTGTAGGACCTCTCGTTGAAGCGCGCGTGTCTGTAGTTGGGCTCGTTGGCCTCTAGCCCGTAGTTTAGCTCTGTGTATAGTAGCGTTTGTACGCTGATTTTGCAACACCAACACTTGTTTAGTAACTTTTACGTGCTCAGTTTGAAGATGGTGAACTTGTCTCTTTAACTGATGTATTTCGTTAAGTATACGGGCCTCTGTGTATTTTACTTGCTGGCTCACAGTTGCTAGACACCTGTCTGTATGTATCTCTGCACTAATACAACGTGCCTTGCTTGACTTCAATTCCTCGCGTATGTTGGAGAGCTCTGTTTTCACAAACGTTTTTTCACTAGTGTTGTTTAACAGATGTGTGTTTTCTTGTAAAGTATTCACCTTTGGTGTTAAAGCATTCTTTATAGGCCCTTTTGCTGCATCAGGAGCTGCTGCTGTGTGTCCAGATAGTGGTTCAAAGTATTCCTCACGGTCCGGGAATGGTGATCCTGCGTTTAATACATCTTGATCGTTGTTTGGTATACCTTCATCGCGTATAATGGCATCAATGTCCAGTGTCGCTATAAAATCGATTATGTTGAAATCCTGGTTTACTGAGGGGTGATTCTCTGTGTCTTCGCCACCCTCTGATGAGCTAAAAATAGTGAGAAGAAAATTATAACCTCTATCATTATAAAATTATAATATGTAACTCACCTTTTATCATCATCATCATCATCATCATCATCCCCGTGATTAGTTATTTTGTGTCCGTTGCGGCGTGATAGAATTGCTCTAGAAAAAAAAATATACCTCTCATAAAACTTGTTATATAAAGTTAGTATATGTACCGACTTACGGAGCTTTATGTTGATTTACTTGTCTTAATTTATGCATCAGGGGCATTGACTTGGTGTTTAATTTACCTGTGCTGTATAAAATGAAATAAAAGTATTAAACATCTGATTAAGACATTAAGGAAAAAAATGAGATCTTACCCTATTTCATCCGTTTGCTGTAGACCTCTCGTAACTTTTGCTGTTGGGGTTAAATCTTCATCGGTGTTATAATGTGTCAATAAACGACCCTTTCCTAGAGATAAACTAAATTAAAACATTTAATATGAATACTGCAAAATGTTATATTAATAACTTACCTGTATTAGGCATATTGTATAACCTTCTCTTAGACAGCGGTAATGCGTTTGAACCATTGAAAAACTTCTGATAGGACGGTGTAAACAGACCTCCCACCCATTCTGATTTGTTGTTAGTACACCCTCCCAACCGTTCATCATGATAAGGCTATCACACACACACACCTAAGTGTCGTTAACAGGTCCTCCCTGCACCTTAGCTATTCCTAACTGTTTTAGAATAAACATGTGCTATGATAAACCGTGATCATAAATCACTTTAGACAACTGTGAAGCATTTACTTTATCACACACACACAGGGTCAACAGAATCTAACTCATTACATATTCAAAACTCTTTGAAAAATACCGTGCAGTAACACCTTTCACCACTTGCTCAAGAGCGCCGTCCCCTTTCTGGGGAGTTTTAGGGTGCAGTACCACCTTTTCACCACTTGCTCAATACTGGTGTCAATACTATCTACTGTGGCTGTTCCCTTAGAGATAGGGTGAGGAGCTCGGTCATACGGGAGGAGCTCGGAGTAGAGCTGCTGCTCCACGTCGAGAGGAACCAGTTGAGGTGGCTCGGGCGTATTTTCCGGATGCCTCCTGGACGCCTCCCTGGGGAGGTGTTCCGGGCACGTCCCACCGGGAGGAGGCCCCGGGGAAGACCCAGGACACGCTGGAGGGACTATGTCTCTCAGCTGGCCTGGGAACGCCTTGGGGTCCCCCCGGACGAGCTGGAGGAAGTGTGTGTGGATAGGGAAGTCTGGGCGTCTCTGCTTAGACTGCTGCCCCCGCGACCCGGCAACGGATGAAGCGGAAGAAAATGGATGGATGGATGGATGGAGTTCCCTCGTGTATGAACTGCGCCACACAAATCCTCTTGCCTCGCCTTTTGATCCGACTTAGATGTTAAGCTCAAAAACAGTCTTCCTGAAAATGTGAGACAGGCTCTACTCTGACAGTGATGTTTCGCTGTGCATACAACTGAAACACAACATCCTGGCTCTTTTTAATGTACTCTGTATCGTGTTCTCATTTTGTTTTGTTTTTATAATTAAAATGTGCTTTTCTTTTGTTGTTGTGTGTAATTTCTTTCACTATTGTGTAACTGCATCAAACTGCTTCATGTGAACGTAAATCGATTTCCTTCCGTAGAGGCTTAATTGGTGAAAACGGTAACATTTGACCAATGAATATTAGTCAAAATCAGAAACGCAAACACACAAGTGCACTTTAGACTGTGTTAGTTAAACTGTGCTATACAAAAAAACTTGCCTTGACACTGTTTTATCCCTGGTTAATTCCTGGGTAAGAATAAGGATTGGGAGACTATATGTTTGTGTGTAAAAGGCCAACAGCAACACAACCAAACTTTACATCTGTATGAGCCTCCATCTCTTTGTGTTTTCATTTTGTTTTGTTAGATTATTATATATTTTATTATTTATTGTTTATTTGGTCGGGACAGAACATGTTCATGAACACATCACTCCGGATTTGTACCTTGGGCTAATATCCATCCGTTGTCGCACAGTCGCACTCACAAACACACACTCCTTCACCCTGAACTACTGCACATGTTTTTAGTGGTAGGGGAAACCGGAGCACCCGGAGGAAACCTACACAGTCGCGGGGATAACATGCAAACTCCACTCAGAAAGGCCCTGTTCCGACCAGGCTTCAAACCCAGAACCTTCTTGTTGAGAATGAGGCTTGATTGTTGAAAACTTTTAATTTTTACCAATGATTTTTAGGCAAAGTGAGAAAAAGCACCCAGCGCACTCTAAAATGTGTTAGTCAGATTGTGTACCTTGCCTAACTCTCTTACTATATGTGTATGAACTGTGCTATACAAAAAACCTTGCCTTGACTCGGTTTTGTCACCACCAAAGGTCCCTGGGTAATTCCTGTGCAAGAATAAGGATTTTGAGACTATATTTGTGTGTAAAAAGGGCCTATATGGATGGCCTTGGCGCAGCTCAGAGTTTCAGTCCCAGTGGATGCCCCGACTTCCTGCAGCTGCCTCCTCCACACACATGCACGGGTGTTTCAGGAGCGCGCACAGCTTTAGAACAGCTTTTTCCGACGCTGATACGAAGCCCGGATGAACCACCAAGGCACAACTAATCTGTTCTCATCCCAAAACGCAATAGAGAGATGTGTGTGAATATTTATGGGTCTCGGCATCCGGTCGATAGACTTTGGCCCATGCAAAAGATCAAATATGTGTTTGTGATGTGTGATTGCTGTGACAGTAGAGCCAGGTCTTCTCCGCTCGGACTGCCATGAATAAGAAATGGTCACTGGGCTCCTGGGATTCACCTGCGACTTGGAGACATCCGGAGTGTTGTTTACCTAGTTCCGTTAATTCAGTTTTTTTGTCTGTATTGACCAGTGGTTGTTTTCTTTGTTTTATATTTATATTTTGTAATTGGTAATCATGCAGTTTTGTGAAGTTCTTTTGAAATCGACAATTGTTATGATTTTGGGCTGTTCAAAAATAAATAGATTTTTTTATGACTGAGGATAATCGGGACACAAAGTCACTCTGTTTAACTACCGTGTTATATTTTGTGTGAAAAAAAATGTCAAAAGTAGTCTAATCTAATCTAATCTAGGGAGATGATTTCAAGATAACTTTTAAATACTTCTACCAGAGTCGATTTTCATACTAGTATTCATTATTTTACCTAAGACTCATACTCATCACCAGGATCCATCTTCCAGACAAAGCAATGGAACCAGACTTGGTCCGGTTGTAGTGAACCAGGCCGATGAGTGTGAACTAAATCAGATGTAGGTCAAAGCCAGGGTCTGTGTCTGAGCTGAGGTCCTTGTCTTGATCAGGGCCAGACGGCGTGGAGGCCCTGTGCCAGCGGCTGGAGGTGCGCAGCAGCGATGGAGGAAGACTACTGTTCACCGCAGAGGAAGAGGAGGTCGTCATGACAACGGAGAAATTCACCGTCACAGGTAAATCATGTTGGACAGGGCCCCGATAACGCCTGATGTAGACAACAGCATCATGAGAGCTGGAGTCAAAGCACTGACACACGATTTGACAATTGAACTTTAACTAGAGGTGTGAGAAGTCAGTCTGTTTGGAACTATTTCTACTGCTCTAATGGCTGGTTCTCTGGTCTGTTGTTTGTGAATCGACAATATTGTGAAATTGAGACTGCTGTTGCGAGGACTATACAAAAATAAATTGAATTGAATTGTACTAATGTTTATAATGCATGTTTTTTTTGTTTTTTTATTCAAATACACTTGTAGTCATTGACTCCATACACTGTAGTCATAAACTACGACACAGCTGCCCCGGGGCACACTGACAGAAGCGAGGCAACCAGTCTGTGCCATTCTCGGAAATGTGTCTCGATTAAGGACACAGCCACAGTTTGGCGCTTTACAGCCGCAGCCGCCCCACTGTGGCACCTGCTGTTCCCAGAGGTCTCCCATCACAGTGCTTACCAGTCTGTGTCCTGCTTAGCTTCAGAGGTCTAATGGTAACTGACTTCCGCATGCAGATGGCCCCACTGCATTCAATCTCAGTCGGATCCTACTGAGATCCGCGCTCCCGATGCAGTTAAGAGCACAGGGAAAAGCCATGTTAGATGAATTTGATTACAAAAGTAAATTTTTTTGTGGTTTGAAAGTTAGGTACCCCTGCTTTAATAAATCTCATTGACCTCATCCCAAAAAGAGATCCTGAAAACCAAAGATTATTGTTCTTAGAAGGGAACTGGCTTCGTTGTATCACTTTTAAGGCAACATTATGAAGGACAAATACCATATGCATTTGGATAAAAGTGTTTCTGCAAAGCTTTTGTCGGTTGGACTTTAATTGGAGGATTCAATCACACTTATTTTTATTTTCAGATTGTAATTTTAATTTTATAGGATCAATAAAGTCTGTCTAAGTCTAAGTTGTGAGGAGTAAATGATGATTGAAAATGGCCACGGAGGAGGAAGTGAACAAAGCAGAAGTTCACCTCTCCCGCTGATGTTTTTCAGGCTCGGAAGGCGCCGTGTTTGGTCATTCTGTGGAAACGCCGTTAATCCTGGCCAAGTCCAGCGAAGACCTGAAGTAAGTTCATTAACGCCCACTTTAAAGAAACCCATTAAAGCTGAAAGCGCCGCGCTCATATCTTTTCACGTTAAACATCAGGCTCTTTATACGATGAAGATAAATGTAGCGTAGCATATCAAAGTTCAGCCTTAAGAGAGAAAAGGAGCCATTATTCACCGGCTTCCTTAAACTCAAGCGCTGCCTCGTCCACTCAAGTGCCGCGCCGCAGACCATTTACAAAACCAAACTCGGCCATTATTTCAATTTCACACCTCAGGAGAGCTCTAATGTGTTGGTTATTCCCCAAAATGCTCTGAAATGAGAGGTTAATATGGAGATGCGTATCAGAGAGGGCCTTTGCTGTGAACATGCAATCACAGAGCAGCGCCCTGAAGGGAGGCCGCCATCACCAGCCCTGAAGGGAGGCGCCATCACCAGCCCTGAAGGGAGGCGCCATCACCAGCCCTGAAGGGAGGCCGCCATCACCAGCCCTGAAGGGAGGCCGCCATCACCAGCCCTGAAGGGAGGCCGCCATCACCAGCCCTGAAGGGAGGCCGCCATCACCAGCCCTGAAGGGAGGCGCCATCACCAGCCCTGAAGGGAGGCCGCCATCACCAGCCCTGAAGGGAGGCCGCCATCACCAGCCCTGAAGGGAGGCCGCCATCACCAGCCCTGAAGGGAGGCCGCCATCACCAGCCCTGAAGGGAGGCCGCCATCACCAGCCCTGAAGGGAGGCCGCCATCACCAGCCCTGAAGGGAGGCCGCCATCACCAGCCCTGAAGGGAGGCCGCCATCACCAGCCCTGAAGGGAGGCGCCATCACCAGCCCTGAAGGGAGGCCGCCATCACCAGCCCTGAAGGGAGGCGCCATCACCAGCCCTGAAGGGAGGCCGCCATCACCAGCCCTGAAGGGAGGCCGCCATCACCAGCCCTGAAGGGAGGCCGCCATCACCAGCCCTGAAGGGAGGCGCCATCACCAGCCCTGAAGGGAGGCCGCCATCACCAGCCCTGAAGGGAGGCGCCATCACCAGCCCTGAAGGGAGGCCGCCATCACCAGCCCTGAAGGGAGGCGCCATCACCAGCCCTGAAGGGAGGCCGCCATCACCAGCCCTGAAGGGAGGCCGCGGGAGGCCGCCATCAAAGTTGGCAGAAAAAAACAGCGTTCTGGCAGCGAGTTCCCGTGCGGCGTGGGGAATGCAGATGAGGGAAAGAAAAGGCCTTTAGAGGAAAGAGGAGAGAAGGGAGGAGAGGAGAGAGGAGGAGAGAGGGGAGGAGAGGGGAGAGGAGGAGAGAGGGGAGGAGGAGAGGAGGAGGGGAGGAGAGAGAGGGAGGAGAGGAGAGAGGAGGAGAGAGGGGAGGAGAGGGGAGAGGGGAGAGAGAGGGGAGAGGAGGAGGGGGGAGGGAGAGGAGGAGAGGGGAGGAGAGAGGGAGAGGAGAGGAGAGAGGGAGGAGAGGAGAGAGGGGAGGAGAGGAGAGGGGAGGGGAGAGGAGGAGGGGAGGAGAGGGGGAGAGAGGGGTGAGAGGGGAGGAGAGAGGAGGAGGGGAGGAGAGAAGGGAGGAGAGGGGAGAGGAGGAGGGGAGGAGAGGGGAGAGGAGGAGAGAGGGAGAGGGGAGGAGAGAGGAGGAGAGAGGGGAGGACTGAGGAGAGGAGGAGAGAGGGGAGGAGAGGAGAGAGGGGAGGAGAGGGGAGGAGAGAGGAGGAGGGGAGGAGAGGAGAGAGGAGGAGAGAGGGGAGGGGAGGAGAGAGGAGGAGAGAGGGGAGGGGAGGAGAGAGGAGGAGAGAGGGGAGGACTGAGGAGAGGGGAGAGGAGGAGGGGAGGAGAGAGGGGAGGAGAGGAGAGAGGGGAGGAGAGGGGAGGAGAGAGGGGAGGACTGAGGAGAGGAGGAGAGAGAGGAGGAGGGGAGGGGAGGAGAGAGGAGGAGAGAGGGGAGGACTGAGGAGAGGAGAGAGGAGCAAGATTAGAGGAGAGAGGAGAGGACAGGAGAAGTCAGCCACGCCCTTGCCACGTCCCGGCCACGCCCCGGCCACGCCCCGGCCACGCCCTTGCCACGCCCCTGCCACGCCCCTGCCACACACTGCTCTGCTGCAACAGAAAACACAGGGGGAGGGGAACAGAACAAAAACCAAAATAATAATAGGTTTGAATCCATCAAATCTAATCAAAGCAAAACAAAGTCTTCTGCATCACATCACGTTTATTTTTAATCGACGTAACAATGACAAGAAGAAACTTTATTGAACTGTTTTTGCAAATGACCTCTTCATCTGCAGACCACGGACTCACAGGTACAGACAGATGGGAGGCACGGTGGCTGAGTGGTTAGCACTCTCGCTTCTCAGCAAGAAGGTCCTGGGTTCAAATCCCGGTCAGAACAGGGCCTTTCTGAGTGGAGTTTGCATGTTCTCTCCGTGTCTGCGTAGGTTTCCTCCGGGTGCTCCGGTTTCCCCTACCACTAAAAACATGCACAATAGGTCTGAATGTAAATGAGAGAGTGAATGATGGTGTTGGGTCAGAGGCTTTGATGGACCAGTGTGTTCTGGACTCGCTTCTGTCATCACCGTGTGTGGAAGGATTGGAACAATATCTGACTCTGAACATTGCAAAGTGCTTTGGGTCTGTGCCTTGGTCTGTAACATGTGCTATATAAATAAACATTACATTACACATAATTCCTAACCCGGGCCTACAGGTACAGTCAGATAATAATAATAATAATAATTGAACGAATGGCATCATCTTTTGAATGCAGTCACTGGTGTCAACACACAATTCATCCACAAAACACAATAGATGTAAAGTCCCTGCACAATAATGTCGAGAGTAAACAAAATCAGTCAATAGAATGTTTCCTTGATCTCAGCAGAGACAGATCGACTTCATTATAGATATGATGCTTTCTTTTCAGCTGTGTTTGTCCTTGATCAGGCTGTTGTTGTCTCCCGCTGCTGTTGTGTGGCATAACAATTGTGTTGCGCAGTAATAAGCACATATGATCACCGGCGAGAAGCGTTCTGTCTGTTCCTACGATTCTGTTCCGTTCATTTTCTTCTTCGAATTCAATCAAAGAGGCGTTCGACTGTACTTACTGACAAACTTTATGTCTGACCGTTTCAATGCGTTTATCAGAAGACCAACGCATTCAAATAAAAGTCATTCATCAAACCAGAAAATCAATCTCTTTTGCCTAAAGTCTGTCTCGTGAGATACAGCTGACGATTTGTTTCAGTTGGCAGGTAATGCGGCTTGGAATGATGCCGATAATGTCTATAAAGTCCTAGATTAAATATATTCGTTTTATTTACATTTCCCCCACTGTGTGACCATGTTTTCTTACCCGTACACAACTATAGTTGTAATAATAGTTACTTATTACTAGTGCTGTCCAAAATATCGCGTTATTAACGCGTTAACCCAAATCAATATTAACGGCGTCATTTTTTTTATCGCGCGATTAATTTTTATTTTTTTTAGTTTTTATTGCAGACAACAACATATACAGAAAAAAAAATAGAAACAAAGAAAAGGACTAGTTCAGATACATTGTAGACAGAGATTACAAACAATATGTAGTTGGAGATACAGGGGGCCAAAGAAGAAACCCAGAAGGGAACATAGGAGAAGTGTTGTGCGTGAACGAGTTCAAAAGAACGCGTTCATTGAACACGCTCATTTTTTCGTGAACATTGAACTGAACGCAACACATTTTTAAAAAAGAACTTGAACGTGAATTAGTTCATTTTATGTGTCATGAACGGCAGACATCACTATGAACGTTGGAATCTGTTTTCTCTTTTGAAACGCAACAAGAGAAAGTTCCTCCCTCCTGTATTCTCGCACTTTTTCCGCCGAAATCTAAAAATTCCTACGGTTTCCACCGTCTGTGAACGCACCCCGACTCTGTGTTGTTTATTGTTTATCATCATCATAATGACACCATGATGTTTCTATACAGTCTATGGTCTATACCCACACATACACACACACACCCACACACACACACACCCACACAAATGTGTGACTAATTTGCGATGAATCGCGAGTTAACTATGAAATTCATGCGATTAATCGCGATTAAATATTTTAATCGTTGGACAGCACTACTTATTACTTCTCAGCAAGAATGTCCAGGGTTCGAATCTCGATCGGAACAAGGCCTTTCTGAGGGGAGTTTGCATGTTCTTCCCGTGTCTAACTAAAAACATGCACAATAGGCATAAATCCTCAGTGGTGGTCGCTGTTCTACGACAGTCACTGCTCCTGATACACGCCTGAGGGGCATTGAAGGATGGGTCAAATGCAGAGGACACATTTCCCCACGGGGATCCATAAAGTATAACTTACTAAAAAAACAATGAAGTTTAGTAGATGACCGGATAACGGAATTATTAGGAAGGTTTCGAGAACATGTATTTTTATTGACATAACGTTTTAAATATGAATGTTCAGACAATAACAACAAGACTTTCCTCTATGTGTAAGACCTGAACTGTGCTTGTGTGTGGATGGAGTTGTGGGAGGGTCCGGGATGGTTCGGGAGGGTTCAAGAGGGTCCAGGATGGTTCGGGAGGGTCCAGGATGGCTCAGGAGGGTCCAGGATGGTTCGGGAGGGTCCAGGATGGTTCATTATGGTCCAGGATGGTTCGGGACGGTCCAGGGGTCGCTCTGGTCCTTCTGCTGAATGACTTTTCTCTTGGATGCCATAAGGTGGAAGTCCCCTCACTTGCTGTCATTCCGGCAGAGGACTATGGTGTCTGTGTGTGCGACTGTGTGTTGTGTGTGTGTGTGCGACTGTGTGTGTGTGTGTGTGTGTGTGTGTGTGTGTGTGTATGACTGTGTGTTGTGTGTGTGTGACTGTGTGTTTTGTGTGTGATTGTGTGTTGTGTGTGTGATTGTGTGTGTGTGTGTGTGTGTATGACTGTGTGTGTGTGTGTGTGTGACTGTGTGTTGTGTGTGTGTGTATGACTGTGTGTTGTGTATGTGTGTCTGTGTCTGTGTGTGTGTGACTGTGTGTGCGTCTGTGTGACTGTGTGTGCGTCTGTGTGTGTGTCTGTGTGTTTGTCTGTGTGTGTGTGAACGTGTGTTGTGTGTGTGTCTGTGTCTGTGTGTGTGTGTGTGTGTGTTGTGTGTGTGTGTGTATGACTGTGTGTTGTGTGTGTGTGTGTCTGTGTGTGTGTCACTGTGTGTTGTGTGTATGACTGTGTGTGTGTGTGTATGACTGTGTGTTGTGTGTGTGTGTTGTGTCTGTGTGTGTGACTGTGTGTTGTGTGTGTGACTGTTTGTTTTGTTGTGTGTGTGTTTTTTACGTGTGTGTGTGCCTGTTTAAATCTGGACTTTGTGACAGAAACACAAAGTCCAGATTTAAACTTGGCAATTGTCATAATACACTGACAACAGGCGGAGATTGGTTTGACAGAGTGGGAACTTGAAGGACAGAGGAAGTGTGTAAACATCGGAAAACATAACAACCTTGAGCAACATATCTTTTAAATCGCAAAGAGATAGAAAAGTACTTTTTATTGTGACCTTGAGTGTTTGGAAAGGCGCCTAAGTGATAAAAAGTATTTTTATTGTTCTTATTAACTCATAGACTGTCATTGACGTATTTGTCTGAGACTGGTGTTTTCTGTCAAACCTCCCTCTGTTCGACTGGGGGTCACAGGAGAACAAAACTAGCTAGAAACAAACATATTTTTGCTGATGAAAGTAGACAGTCCAGTCTTTCAGAGTCTGGTTTCATAATTCGTCATAGCACACTCTATTCTGTGGTTCTTGAGAATCAGTGAAATCATCCAAAACAGCAGTCGGTCAATGAGTTAATGACTGATTTCAAGATGTGTGTGTGGACTGGAAGGTCGAGGTCTCTGACTTCGACTGCTGCCCAGTCCTCTAGGTCCTAGTAAGTCAGACCTGTTCCTGGTGCAGGGCAGCCCTGGTGAAGCCCTCCATGAGGGTGGTATGAGGACCAGACGTCCACAAGTTGGGCCGGTGCTTACTGCCCAACACCGTGCAGCCCGATTGGCATTTGCCCGAGAACACTGCGATTGGCAGATTGGCCAACGGTGTCTGGAGACGCCCTGGAGAACGTTCTGCTGCTGCAACATCATCCAGCATGACCGGTTTGGTGGTGGGTCAGTGATGGTCTGGGGAAGCATTTCATTGAAGGGCCGCACAGCCCTCCATGGGCTCGCCAGAGGTTCCCTGACTGGCACTGGGTACCCCTCCATGGGCTCGCCACAGGTTCCCTGACTGGCACTGGGTACCGGGATGAGATCCTCAGACCTACTGTAAGACCATACGCTGGTGCTGTGGGCCCTGGGTTCCTTCTGATGCATGATAATGCCAGGCCACATGTGACAAGAGTGGGTCAGCAGTTCCTGCATGATGAAGGTATGGATGTTTTGGACTGGCCTGGCCTGGCCCAGACTTAAATCCAATAGAGCACATCTGGGACATCATGTCTCGGTCCATCCATCACGTCGCACCACAGACTGTCCAGGAGCTGACTGATGCTCTAACCCAGGTCTGGGAGGAGATCCCTCAGGAGGACCTCCATGGTCTCATCAGGAGCAGGCCCAGGCGTTGTAGGGAGTGCATTCAGACACGTGGAGGCCACACACACGACTGAGGATGATACAGACTCGTTTTGAGGAATTTCTACAGAATTTGGATCAACCAGTTTCCTCATTTGTCACTTTGATTTTAACTATAAATTTGGATCCAGACCTCCAGGGGCTGAGAATGTGATTTCCATTTATCATTCTTATGTTATTTTGTCCGACAGTGGCTCAGTGTGTAGAGCATTGGCCTTTGGGCCTGAAGGTCGTGGGTTCGAGCCCACCGTAAGACCTACTTCACGACTCCCACTGATGACACTTAACCCCACTTTGCCCAAAGCCCCCACTGAAAGATCTCAGCTCTTGTGGACTCACCACCTGCAGGAGGATCAGTGAGGGGCTGGTGCTCTGTGAACTGGGTGCAGCTCTGACTGCCACCCCCCTGACCCAGAAATGGATTAAGGGGAAGAAAATGGATGGATGGATGTGATTTTGTTCTCAACACACTATGAATAAAGATTTTCATCCAGAAAATCTAATTGATTGACATCTAGGATTTGTTTTTTGAGTGTTCCCTAAGTTTTTGTGAGCAGTGTAATACAATCTGAATACTGTAGATGGCACCACTATGACATCGGTCCTGCCTTTTAACTCTTTTTGACATGAGTTGAGATAAAAGTATTGGTCTTAAATTAGGGATGGGCGATTTTGCCTAAAAAAAAAATCTCCGATTTTTAAAAGAAAAATTCAAGTTTCGATTCGATTTTCGATTTTTTTTTCCCAATGCACTTAAAAATGACTGGAGACATCAGATATATTGTCAAAAGTGCAAATTTATTGCTGTGATTGTCCTCAAGAGTTAAAATGAAAGTAAATGAGGCTCTGTTATTCAACAATTTCAAGCTTTAACCCAGGTTTAAGCAAAAGTGCAACATCAACTTCACAGTAGCTTACATTTTCTGATTAAGAAATCAGATAACTACATATTTTGTAACATATAACATTACAATAAAAAAATAAAATAAACTCTTCTCTTAGCCTCTCAGCATAATGTGAATATAAAAAAAATTAAACATGCCTGTGGCAGACATATAGCTACTAACTAACTACTTATCAAAGGATAAACAAATGTAAACTTTTATCTTTAACAACAAAACATTAGATCTCTGAAATATTGTGCATGCTCATTCTAAGCATTTTTTGCAAGAAAGATGAGCCTGTCCACAACCACAGGTCCGTGGTGGCTGAGTAAAACGTCATCTCCCCCAGCTCACCGCGGATCTTTTCACGAGTTGTATTGTACAGGTGAGGCAGCGCTACATCGGCGAAATACTTGCCACTGGGGACAACGTACTGTACCTCGCATCTAATACTTTTAACAAGCCCCCCCTGTTAAAACCCCCCCGGGGGGTCGCATGATGATTTCTACACAAACAAAAAAAAAGATTATTTTTTTTTTGAGCAAATATAAAGCCCTTAAATATTTATTTAGCATTTCATTTGATTCAAAAGGACTACTTGTTAAATTGTGTTTGGAGACTATAATATATTTTAATAACGTTAGTAATTTTGTCCCAGTCATTGCAGCGTCAATCAAAATCATCACGTAACACAGCTCACATCATGCGCAGCGACAACGCGTGTCCTGCTGTTGTTTGCTAAAACTAAAGGTGTTTGGAGGCTACAAATAAATAATACCTGCTTTAAAATGAAACGTGGTTAATATCCACAACAGAAAAACCCGGAGGGGGAGAAAAGTCACTTGTATCAGGGGTCAGGCTGATGGTGCGAAGAGAGGGAGAGGGCAGAGGAGGGAGAGAGGGCAGAGAGGGAGAGAGGGAGAGAGGGCAGAGGAGGGAGAGAGGGCAGAGGAGGGAGGAGGGAGAGGGCAGAGGAGGGAGAGAGGGAGAGAGGGCAGAGGAGGGAGAGAGGGCAGAGGAGGAGAGAGGGCAGCGGAGGGAGGGAGGACAGCGGTAGAACAGCGCGTTAAAGAGGCCCGGCTTTTCGGAGTCAAAGGTAAAGAGGTCCGCACATTAAAAGCGGGTGGCCGGTTTATGCCTTTACTGACAGTAACTTTGGAAAGAGAAGCCGCGGGGATGAACTGCATAAAGTAACAACAGAAAGCGGCCGCCCGCTTTTAATGTGCGGACCTCTTTACCGCTGACTCCGGAAAGCCGGCCCACTTTACCGCGGTAGGAGAACAGTGAGGGCGAGCCGCAAGAAATGCGCTCCACTCCTGCTGAGGAGGGTTAGCAGGGCATTTATGATGGGGGTCGCGGGCTAAAAACTTTGGGAACCCCTGCTCTACTACACGCTGCCATTCTTGTTTTGACTGTGTTTACGCGGCGGAGGGGGCTGGCTCATAACGCTCTACGGTAACCCACAAGGACGAAACGCAAAAAACTCAGAAAAAAAATTTGTTGAAAAAAAAACTCGAGTTTGCAAAATAAAAATCCTTTTAAGCTACAAAATTGATAAATCAATTAAATCGATTTTTTGCCCAGCCCTATCTTAAATGAGTTTTTATAGATGCTCCGGTGAAAGGACATCTTTACAGCTGGTCATTTTCAAATTTGGAAAAAACAACAAATTCAAGTGCCTCTGGTGGTAGCACAAGGAATTACAACTGAATGCATTTTTTACCCTTCAAACTTGTTTCACCGTATACTTTCTACGGCAGATGAAATGACAAAGTAAAAGCCTCATTATCTCGTATAAAGGCCATAAATTTCACCAACGCAACCATTGCTGTAATTCATTTGGCATTCCCTTTATCACCGAGACAATTAAGCAACAATCCTATAATTGTTATTGCACATTAGCATGCTAGTGTAGGCGTAGGTGTGCTGTTAATTTTTCATTTTTAGAAGCAAATGAAAGCAGAGGATGGTTTTATGCATTCTGGTGTCGGCCGGTGCTAATCCTTTGAGTGTGGGCTTATAAAACAAACATCGTTGGGGTTTGCATATTGAGCATCCTTCATTTGAGCAGCAGTGGGGGCAGCGCAGAGGTGATCCCAGACACCATCACCGCTAAGACTTATTATAATGTCTTGGAAATGTAGAAGCATTTGACAAAAAATGTAATGAATAAATTGGGTTTAGATAAAAAGGCCATTTATTGAACGGGCCGGCGCGGTGCTGTTATTCATTACTCCGCTCTGTGCAAATTTACTCTGCTTTTCCAATTCAAATACACCTGCTAGCCGCCGCAGAGGTGATAATGTCCCGGTGTGACTGAAGCGGCTTCCAGACATAAAGAACGGCTTCACTAAAACACACAATGCACTGGAACATTTGTCTGGAGTCATAATCTTTTTGTTACATCTCAATCTTCGCAGTTCACTTTGAAATGCTCCATTTTCCGCAAAGTGTCAAGCTAATTCAGTCGATTATGTTTGGGCAGAAGAAATAAGTGGAATAGAAAAATGTGTAATTATTATTGGTATTAGGGGTTAATGCAGCTGTCACTCACAGCATCGCAGGCTGAACATTTATCATAAAGAGACGGACATGGCTTTGAACTCGCACACTATCAAGACAAAGACCATGAACAATGACTAATGGCTGTCACAGGGCAGGGCCTGGTCAATACTGAGGCAAAACTGTTGTTGTGTTCTTTGGCAAGACAATTCAAACACTTTGTTGAAGTGAGTCCGGTCTGTGCATGAAGGGAACAGCTGTGGCTACACTGCAGTAGTTTGTCACCACTGTGTATGGAGTACTTCAAGACTCCCACTGATGTCGGCTGTCGCTGTGTCCTTGGGCAAGACACTTAACCCACTTTGCCTGAAGCCCCCGCTGGAAGACCAAGGCTTCTGTCCTGTGGACTCAGCACCTGCAGGAGGATCAGTGAGGGGCTGGTGCTCTGACTGCCACCCCCTGACCCAGAAATGGATTAAGGGGAAGAAGACGGATGGATTGAGTGAAAGAATATTGACCCAAAAAGCACAACATGAAGATTAATATTCTTATTATTATTAATATTATTATTATTATTATTACTTTCTGAAGGGAAACATAAAATTTACAAAATGACAATGTTTGAGCTGTTTATAGTAAATATAAGTATATTTATATTTAGTATAATTAGACCAGTGTTAGACCAGAGAAGTGAAAGTGATGAAGACGTTTTTGAAACGGAATTATGCCATTTCCGAACTGGACCCTTGACTAAAGGCTTTGTGAGCAGAGTGAAGCAGAGAAACACAGCTGAGATAGTTTTACTGCGTTGGACAACGTTGTGCACATGATAAACTTTATAAAGTCACTGCCCATGAAAAGCTGCATATGTGAGGCAATGGGAGCAGAAATATAATAATAATAATAAATAATACTTTTTCATGAAAGATCTCAGCTCCCGTGGACTCAGCACCTGCAGGAGGATCAGTGAGGGGCTGGTGCTCTGACTGCCACCCCCCCAACCCAGAAATGGATTAAGGGGAAGAAAAAAAAAATGGATGGAATACTTTTTCATTGTGATTATGCATATTTCTCACTTTAAAAATAGTGAAAACTGCTATTGTGAAAATATGCTACAGAGTATATATTTTTACATTTTCTCCTGGTGGTGTGCCATGAGATATTTTCAATGAAAAAAGTGTGCCTTGGCTCAAAAAAGGTTGAAACACACCGATTTAGACTAAATCAATCCATCTTTTTCTTCCCCTTAATCCGATTCGAGGTGAGGTTGGCAGTCAGAGCTGCACCCAGTCCCAGTTCTCTCTGATGCTCTGCAGGTGCTGAGTCCACAGGAGGACGGCTGCTCTGTCAGTGAGAGAAGAGACTTGATCTTTCAGCGGGGGCTTCAGGAAAAGTGGGGTTAAGTGTCTTGCCCAAGGACACAACGACAGCAGACATCAGTGGGAGTCGGTGGAGAAGGTCTCGTGGGGGGATCGAACACACAACCTTCAGACTCAAAGGCCAATGCTCTACCAACTGAGCCACTGTCACCTTTTTTCTTTCTTTTTTGGGACAGCAGTCTGAGCAGAGACGCCATAGACACACTTCCTGCAGCTCATCAGGGGGAATCCTGAGGGATCCCAGGTCAGCGGAGAGACCTGTGGGTTTTCTCTGGGGCCCTCTTCCTGGGGCTACACACACCCCAGGGAGGCATTCTTGAGGCTTGTGAAACAAATCTTGACCAACCTCAATTGAGTCCTCTCTGTGTTTTATTCTAAGCGCTGAAGAAACGCACAGCTTGGATTGATGAAGTCAAAGACAACGAATGATAAAGTAATAAACTAATAATTAGATTAACCTTTAGAAGTTGAAATATCTTTTTTCCAGTGACCGTTGCATTGACAGTCGAATAATAATGCATCGGTTTTATATAGCGCTTTTTTGGACACTCAAAGACGCTTCACATGTGTCATTATTCATTCACTCCATACACGGTGGTGATAAACTACTACTGCAGCCACAGCTGCCCTGGGGCACACTGACAGAAGCGAGGCAACCAGTCTGTGCCATCGGCCCCTCCCACCACCACCAACCATTCACACACACACCAGACTCATTCTAGGCAATGGGGGTGAAGTGTCTTGCCTAAGGACACAACGGCAGTTTGGCACTTTACAGCCGCAGCCGCCCCACTGTGGCTGGTGTTCCCAGAGGTTAAGTGTCTTGCCCAAGGACACAATGACAGTAGTCAGTGGGAGTCGATGGTGAAAGCCTTGAGCGGGGCTTGAACCCACGACCTTCTGGCTCAAAGGCCAACGCTCTACCAACTGAGCTACTGCCGCCCTAAATGACTATTCAGATAGTTGCCTCATTGTGTGCACAGCTCTATTTGCTCTTCACATTTCTCTTTTGAATCTTTGAAGTCTGGTCAAAAAGTCAAATCTGTTGCATGAGAGAACAATCCGGCCTCTCTCCATCATAACGTGGTAACATCTGAGTTGGAAAGTCGTCTCTCCCTCTCCTCTCCTTCTCCAGTCTCCACCACGTCTGAGTTTGTCATTTCCTGCCCCGAGTTCAGTTTTATTACCTTCAATCACGGCGCTGTCCTGAGTCCAGCCTTTTTCACCTTGCACAGTGTCCTCTGACGCCTCCTAAATCTAGAGACACAGATGGAAAGATTACCGCACACCCACGAGGAAATTGGCCTGTGAATTTGTTATGTTCATATGCAGCCAAAAATTACAGGCTCAGATTTCAGCGTATGTGTCAAATGCATAATGATATTATTTTTGGCTGCGTGCTAAAACGCTGGATGGATGCAGAGTGGCGTGACAAGGGGTTTCACTGCGCTGCTTCTGTCATATTTGTGTCAGTGATCTCACTACTGAAAGAGTGGAGCTTTGTTGTTCAGCAGAAACACTACAAATCCCAGAGATACCGCTGTAGAAACAGATCTGAGATGTGTTTGGTCGTCCCACATCCCAAGGCAAACACAAAAGCACAATTATACTGTACATTTCTGGAATTATTTGAGAGCAGTATTTAAATTGAATCAGAAAAACTGGTATAGAAAGAATATGGAATTGCAGTTTCATCTAGCCTGGTCGTACCACACCATAGTACTAATTACATTTGGTACTAAGGTCTGGATTTGCTCCATTGACTCCGTTAACAGGTGGGAGTTTACTGTGACATATGTAGTGCGCCTGAGTTTGTTGTTAGCACTTAGCATTTAGCCTAGCTTTAGCCATCTCCTATGCCGCTAACGGAGGCCGTGGGGAGTAGCGCCACAATCTTTGCCAGCGATTACATTTGCTTAACATTCCTCTTGCTCCGGCTTCAATTTCTCGAAAAAACCAGACCAGAATACTTTACTTTTCGGCCTTACCAAACTACAACCTGCCCGTGACGCAAACTCTTGACATCACCCACAACTAACTACAACGCGGGTGTTGTGGTTAGATGTGGGTGACGTCAAGAGCTTCCGCGCTCTCTGATTGGTCGGTCGAAATTCAACCGATTGTAATCGCAAACACAGGGACCAGACCCAGACGTTACATGCAGGAAATGATGATCGAGCGGATGGAGTATGGATGGATAAGGCCATGCTGAGTTTCATCATTTTGGATTCATTTTAACCAATCAGGAAGCTGCGGAGGTGAGCGGGGGCGGGTCTAGCCAGTGCGTGTCTTCCAAATGTTTCACTCTCTGTATTTGCCCCATTTAGTGATTGGTCAAGATTGGAGCTGCGGGTGAGTTGTTGTGGTGCAAGTTTTGGGCGGGGTGAAAACCGGAGCGCCTGTAGGAAACTCACCCAAACACATGTTAAACAGCCCTGGACCGACATGGGATCGGAACCCGCACACCGGACCTGAGCACTATCCACTCCGTCTGTCTACTCTACTTCAGCATGCCTTTACTAGACTTTACTTTACTTTGTATTTGGTGATTATTCTCTGTGGATTGTTTTCATAAATGTAAGTTGGTAAAAGATCCGCTAACTCATTTTTTTATTATTTCACACCAAGAGACATTTTAGAAAGCCCCACTCTTCGTAACAGTGTCTATATACTCTGTCGAATCCCGTACTTTTCAATCTTCATGGTTTCTTTGTTATTTCCTGACGCCCATCCAGATCTGGTTGTAGCAGTTATTCAAAAGAAACCTTGATAATTATACATTTTTCTGCTTCCTGCGGCTGCTTCACAGATCTGAACACTACTGTGCCTTGTCCAGGACCACACGGTGGAAACTTCAAGGCTATTTTTTTAAGGTATCGTTCTCATTCAACCAGTTTAACTAAATGCTACAACTATATCCTACTATGGCCCCACCCAGAAAATAAATGCTAACCTCTTTGAATGACTAAATAGCAAGGGGTACGGAAAGGTGTTGATTTTGCTTGATTTGTCCCCTTTAACCACAAACTGGACAGAGCTGTTTCCAGTTTACTCACAACAGTCAGTCCCAGTGTAAGAGTAAGACTGCTATCACTGCTCTGACACTTTCATTAAGGAGATAGTGCAGGACAAGTCTCTCAGACCAGTGGCCCAGAGCTCCGGGGCTGAATTGGGTCTGAGATTGAACCCACGAAGCTGCACCACATTCGCTATTTGCCTTCCCAAAGATTGTCTCGTATAATCAAGTTGGCAAATGAAAAGCATAAACGAAATGACAGTTGTGTTGAAATCTAAATGAAGTCAATGTATTTGGAGAAACTGAGAGTGGAAGGAATCCTGTTGGTAATGTCGCCCTCTGCGTCTGACCGTTTTCTGCAGCTTCGTGCTCAAAAAGTCGCCTCTGTCAAAATTTTTAAACGAAAAATCCTATGCACATGTGTGATATTAATGTGTATGATACACCACACAACAATCAAAGCTTGTGAGATTAGAGCCATCTCTTGTATAGAGGTGACGTCACCTCGAATCAAACGAGCTGATCCAGAGTCTGCTCCTCCCTGTGAGCCCGCCTCCCCCCGCCCTCACCCGCCCTCACCCGCCTCCCCCCCGCCCTCACCCAGATCAGCTTTTGAGTAAGTCCAGTTCCATTGTCCCTGTAGTTCTGGAACAGTCTCAGTGAAGTGTCGCAGATGAACCGGTTTATAATAGATCCATGAGATGAACAGATGAAAAAAGTCGAGCCGCTTTCTTCCTCTTAGGGCCAAATAGTGTGTCACATATTTACACCCATAACACACTTCATTCAAGTTGACGTGATCCTAACACTTTTAGTTTCTGACAAAAGCATAAAAACAGCAGCTCTATGTGGAGTCCGCGAGACCAGACCACAGACGCTGGACTCGGGAGCCGGAGCCTGTGCGCTCTGATTCGCTGTTTTGATCCGTCAATCACCTCCCGCCGGCTTTTAATTTATTTTTATTTTTATTATTTTTGACAAAAAACAGCATACTAATTGTGTATCGTTTACCCCGTTTTGACAAAAGTATTTAACAACTATTTTAAATACAAAGCAAACGGGGTCATGCGCGTCATCAGTGTGGTTTTCGTCACTGAAGTGGACCCGAGCGTTTCTGTGCCTCACGCTGGGGAAGGAGACAGATTGTTCTCTTACAAAAGATTGACAGAATCAATAAATAAACTACTGTGGGCTTGTGTATGAAGGCCAAATAGCATTGTAATCATGTTTAAAGCAGAGAAAAGTCAAAAACCGTGATATGGGCCCTTTAAGATATATTATTAACATTCTGAAAATTACATGTCAATTGTATAATCCAAGCACCAAACCTTAGGGGACCGAGCTTTCGCCATCTCTGCTCCCACTTCTCTGGAACTCTCTCCCCCCTCACCTCTGGAACTCTCTCCCCCCTCACCTCTGGAACTCTCTCCCCCCTCACCTCTGGAACTCTCTCCTCCCTCACCTCTGGAACTCTCTCCCTCCTCACCTCTGGAACTCTCCTCCCTCACCTCTGGAACTCTCTCCTCCCTCACCTCTGGAACTCTCTCCTCCCTCACCTCTGGAACTCTCTCCTCCCTCACCTCTGGAACTCTCTCCTCCCTCACCTCTGGAACTCTCTCCCCCCTCACCTCTGGAACTCTCTCCTCCCTCACCTCTGGAACTCTCTCCCCCCTCACCTCTGGAACTCTCTCCCCCTCACCTCTGGAACTCTCTCCCCCCTCACCTCTGGAACTCTCTCCCCCCTCACCTCTGGAACTCTCTCCCCCCTCACCTCTGGAACTCTCTCCCCCCTCACCTCTGGAACTCTCTCCCCCTCACCTCTGGAACTCTCTCCCCCTCACCTCTGGAACTCTCTCCTCCCCTCTCTCCCCTCACCTCTGGAACTCTCCCCCCTCACCTCTGGAACTCTCTCCCCCTCACCTCTGGAACTCTCTCCCCCCTCACCTCTGGAACTCTCTCCCCCCTCACCTCTGGAACTCTCTCCCCCTCACCTCTGGAACTCTCTCCCCCTCACCTCTGGAACTCTCTCCTCCCTCACCTCTGGAACTCTCTCCTCCCTCACCTCTGGAACTCTCTCCTCCCTCACCTCTGGAACTCTCCTACTCCTCCCTCACCTCTGGAACTCTCTCCTCCCTCACCTCTGGAACTCTCTCCCCCCTCACCTCTGGAACTCTCTCCCCCCTCACCTCTGGAACTCTCTCCTCCCTCACCTCTGGAACTCTCTCCCCCCTCACCTCTGGAACTCTCTCCCCCCTCACCTCTGGAACTCTCTCCTCCCTCACCTCTGGAACTCTCTCCCCCCTCACCTCTGGAACTCTCTCCCCCTCACCTCTGGAACTCTCTCTCCCCCCTCACCTCTGGAAACTCTCTCCTCCCTCACCTCTGGAACTCTCTCCTCCCTCACCTCTGGAACTCTCTCCCCCCTCACCTCTGGAACTCTCTCCCCCTCACCTCTGGAACTCTCTCCTCCCTCACCTCTGGAACTCTCTCCCCCTCACCTCTGGAACTCTCTCCCCCCTCACCTCTGGAACTCTCTCCCCCTCACCTCTGGAACTCTCTCCCCCCTCACCTCTGGAACTCTCTCCCCCTCACCTCTGGAACTCTCTCCCCCCTCACCTCTGGAACTCTCTCCCCCTCACCTCTGGAACTCTCTCCCCCTCACCTCTGGAACTCTCTCCCCCTCACCTCTGGAACTCTCTCCCCCCCTCACTCTCTGGAACTCTCTCCCCCTCACCTCTGGAACTCTCTCCCCCTCACCTCTGGAACTCTCTCCCCCTCACCTCTGGAACTCTCTCTCCCCCTCACCTCTGGAACTCTCTCCCCCTCACCTCACCTCTGGAACTCTCTCCCCCCTCACCTCTGGAACTCTCTCTCCCCCCTCACCTCTGGAACTCTCTCCCCCCTCACCTCTGGAACTCTCTCCCCCCTCACCTCTGGAACTCTCTCCCCTCCCTCACCTCTGGAACTCTCTCCCCCTCACCTCTGGAACTCTCTCCCCCCTCACCTCTGGAACTCTCTCCCCCTCACCTCTGGAACTCTCTCCTCTCCCCCCTCACCTCTGGAACTCTCTCCCCTCACCTCTGGAACTCTCTCCCCCCTCACCTCTGGAACTCTCTCCCCCTCACCTCTGGAACTCTCTCCCCCCTCACCTCTGGAACTCTCTCCCCCTCACCTCTGGAACTCTCTCCCCCCTCACCTCTGGAACTCTCTCCCCCCTCACCTCTGGAACTCTCTCCCCCTCACCTCTGGAACTCTCTCCCCCCTCACCTCTGGAACTCTCTCCCCCCTCACCTCTGGAACTCTCTCCCCCTCACCTCTGGAACTCTCTCCCCCCTCACCTCTGGAACTCTCTCCCCCTCACCTCTGGAACTCTCTCCTCTGGAACTCTCTCTCTCTGGAACTCCCCCCTCACCTCTGGAACTCTCTCCCCCTCACCTCTGGAACTCTCTCCCCCCTCACCTCTGGAACTCTCTCCCCCCTCACCTCTGGAACTCTCTCCCCCCTCACCTCTGGAACTCTCTCCCCCTCACCTCTGGAACTCTCTCCCCCTCACCTCTGGAACTCTCTCCCCCCTCACCTCTGGAACTCTCTCCCCCCTCACCTCTGGAACTCTCTCCCCCCTCACCTCTGGAACTCTCTCCCCCCTCACCTCTGGAACTCTCCCCCCTCACCTCTGGAACTCTCTCCCCCTCACCTCTGGAACTCTCTCCCCCTCACCTCTGGAACTCTCTCCCCCTCACCTCTGGAACTCTCTCCCCCCTCACCTCTGGAACTCTCTCCCCCCTCACCTCTGGAACTCTCTCCCCCTCACCTCTGGAACCTCTCTCCCCCCTCACCTCTGGAACTCTCTCCCCCCTCACCTCTGGAACTCTCTCCCCCTCATCTCACTCTCTCCCCCTCTGGAACTCTCTCCCCCCTCACCTCTGGAACTCTCTCTCTCCCCTCACCTCTGGAACTCTCTCCCCCCTCACCTCTGGAACTCTCTCCCCCCTCACCTCTGGAACTCTCTCCCCCCTCACCTCTGGAACTCTCTCCCCCTCACCTCTGGAACTCTCTCCTCCCTCACCTCTGGAACTCTCTCCCCCTCACCTCTGGAACTCTCTCCCCCTCACCTCTGGAACTCTCTCTCCCCCTCACCTCTGGAACTCTCTCCCCCCCTCACCTCTGGAACTCTCTCCCCCTCACCTCTGGAATCCTCACCTCTGGAACTCTCTCCCCCCTCACCTCTGGAACTCTCTCCCCCCTCACCTCTGGAACTCTCTCCCTCCTCACCTCTGGAACTCTCTCCTCCCTCACCTCTGGAACTCTCTCCTCCCTCACCTCTGGAACTCTCTCCTCCCTCACCTCTGGAACTCTCTCCTCCCTCACCTCTGGAACTCTCTCCTCCCTCACCTCTGGAACTCTCTCCCCCCTCACCTCTGGAACTCTCTCCCCCCTCACCTCTGGAACTCTCTCCCTCCTCACCTCTGGAACTCTCTCCTCCCTCACCTCTGGAACTCTCTCCTCCCTCACCTCTGGAACTCTCTCCCCCTCACCTCTGGAACTCTCTCCTCCCTCACCTCTGGAACTCTCTCCCCCTCACCTCTGGAACTCTCTCCCCCCTCACCTCTGGAACTCTCTCCCTCCTCACCTCTGGAACTCTCTCCTCCCTCACCTCTGGAACTCTCTCCTCCCTCACCTCTGGAACTCTCTCCCCCTCACCTCTGGAACTCTCTCCCCCTCACCTCTGGAACTCTCTCCCCCCTCACCTCTGGAACTCTCTCCCCCCTCACCTTTGGAACTCTCTCCCCCCTCATCTCTGGAACTCTCTCCCCCCTCACCTCTGGAACTCTCTCCCTCCTCACCTTTGGAACTCTCTCTCCCCCCTCACCTTTGGAACTCTCTCCTCCCTCATCTCTGGAACTCTCTCCCCCCTCACCTCTGGAACTCTCCCCCCTCATCTCTGGAACTCTCTCCCTCCTCACCTCTGGAACTCTCTCCCCCCTCACCTTTGGAACTCTCTCCCTCCTCATCTCTGGAACTCTCTCCCCCCTCACCTCTGGAACTCTCTCCCTCCTCACCTCTGGAACTCTCTCCCCCCTCACCTTTGGAACTCTCTCCTCCCTCACCTCTGGAACTCTCTCCCCCCTCACCTCTGGAACTCTCTCCCTCCTCACCTCTGGAACTCTCTCCCCCCTCACCTTTGGAACTCTCTCCCTCCTCATCTCTGGAACTCTCTCCCCCCTCACCTCTGGAACTCTCTCCCTCCTCACCTCTGGAACTCTCTCCCCCCTGACCTTGGAACTCTCTCCTCCCTCACCTCTGGAACTCTCTCCCCCCTCACCTCTGGAACTCTCTCCCTCCTCACCTCTGGAACTCTCTCCCCCCCTCACCTTTGGAACTCTCTCCCTCCTCATCTCTGGAACTCTCTCCCCCCTCACCTCTGGAACTCTCTCCTCCCTCATCTCTGGAACTCTCTCCCCCCTCACCTTTGGAACTCTCTCCCTCCTCATCTCTGGAACTCTCTCTCCCCCTCATCTCTGGAACTCTCCCTCCTCTGGATCTCTCTCCCCCCTCACCTCTGGAACTCTCTTCCCCCTCACCTCTGGAACTCTCTCCCCCCCTCACCTCTGGAACTCTCTCCCTCCTCACCTCTGGAACTCTCTCCTCCCTCACCTCTGGAACTCTTTCCTCCCTCACCTCTGGAACTCTCTCCCCCTCACCTCTGGAACTCTCTCCTCCCTCACCTCTGGAACTCTCTCCCCCCTCACCTCTGGAACTCTCTCCTCCCTCATCTCTGGAACTCTCTCCTCCCTCACCTCTGGAACTCTCTCCCCCCTCATCTCTGGAACTCTCTCCTCCCTCATCTCTGGAACTCTCTCCTCCCTCACCTCTGGAACTCTCTCCCCCCTCATCTCTGGAACTCTCTCCTCTGGAACTCTCTCCCCCCTCTCCTCTGGAACTCTCTCCCGCCTCACCTCTGGAACTCTCTCCCCCCTCACCTCTGGAACTCTCTCCTCCCTCTCCTCTGGAACTCTCTTCCCCCTCACCTCTGGAACTCTCTCCCCCCTCACCTCTGGAACTCTCTCCCCCCTCACATCTGGAACTCTCTCCCCCCTCACCTCTGGCACTCTCTCCCCCCTCATCTCTGGAACTCTCTCCTCCCTCACCTCTGGAACTCTCTCCTCCCTCACCTCTGGAACTCTCTCCCCCCTCACCTCCCCCGTCACCTCTGGAACTCTCTCCCCCCTCATCTCTGGAACTCTCTCCTCTGGAACTCTCTCCCCCCTCACCTCTGGCACTCTCTCCCCCCTCATCTCTGGAACTCTCTCCCCCCCTCATCTCTGGAACTCTTTCCTCTGGAACTCTCTCCCCCCTCACCTCTGGAACTCTCCTCTGGAACTCTCTCCTCTGGAACTCTCTCCCCCCTCATCTCTGGAACTCTCTCCCCCCCTCATCTCTGGAACTCTCTCCTCTGGAACTCTCCCCCCTCATCTCTGGAACTCTTTCCTCTGGAACTCTCTCCTCTGGAACTCTCTCCCCCCTCACCTCTGGAACTCTCCTCTGGAACTCTCTCCCCCCTCATCTCTGGAACTCTCTCCCTCCTCACCTCTGGAACTCTCCTCTGGAACTCTCTCCCCCTCATCTCTGGAACTCTCTCCCCCCTCACCTCTGGAACTCTCCTCTGGAACTCTCTCCCCCCTCATCTCTGGAACTCTCTCCCCCTCATCTCTGTAACTCTCTCCCCCCTCATCTCTGGAACTCTCTCCCCCCTCACCTCTGGAACTCTCCTCTGGAACTCTCTCCCCCCTCATCTCTGGAACTCTCTCCCTCCTCACCTCTGGAACTCTCTCCCCCCTCATCTCTGGAACTCTCTCCCTCCTCACCTCTGGAACTCTCCTCTGGAACTCTCTCCCCCCTCATCTCTGGAACTCTCTCCCTCCTCACCTCTGGAACTCTCCTCTGGAACTCTCTCCCCCCTCACCTCTGGAACTCTCCTCTGGAACTCTCTCCCCCCTCATCTCTGGAACTCTCTCCCCCTCATCTCTGTAACTCTCTCCCCGCTCACCTCTGGAACTCTCTCCTCTGGAACTCTCTCCCCCCTCACCTCTGGAACTCTCCTCTGGAACTCTCTCCCCCCTCATCTCTGGAACTCTCTCCCCCTCATCTCTGTAACTCTCTCCCCGCTCACCTCTGGAACTCTCCTCTGGAACTCTCTCCCCCCTCACCTCTGGAACTCTCCTCTGGAACTCTCTCCCCCCTCATCTCTGGAACTCTCTCCCCCTCATCTCTGGAACTCTCTCCTCCCTCACCTCTGGAACTCTCTCCTCTGGAACTCTCTCCCTCCTCACCTCTGGAACTCTCCTCTGGAACTCTCTCCCCCCTCATCTCTGGAACTCTCTCCCTCCTCACCTCTGGAACTCTCCTCTGGAACTCTCTCCCCCCTCATCTCTGGAACTCTCTCCCCCCTCACCTCTGGAACTCTCCTCTGGAACTCTCTCCCCCCTCATCTCTGGAACTCTCTCCCCCTCATCTCTGTAACTCTCTCCCCCCTCACCTATGGAACTCTCCTCTGGAACTCTCTCCTCCCTCACCTCTGGAACTCTCTCCCCCTCACCTCTGGAACTCTCTCCTCCCTCACCTCTGGAACTCTCTCCCCCCTCACCTCTGGAACTCTCTCCCCCTCATGTCTGGAACTCTCTCCTCCCTCACCTCTGGAACTCTTTCCTCTGGAACTCTCTCCCCCCTCACCTCTGGAACTCTCCTCTGGAACTCTCTCCCCCCTCATCTCTGGAACTCTCTCCCCCTCATCTCTGGAACTCTCTCCTCCCTCACCTCTGGAACTCTCTCCTCTGGAACTCTCTCCCTCCTCACCTCTGGAACTCTCCTCTGGAACTCTCTCCCCCCTCATCTCTGGAACTCTCTCCCTCCTCACCTCTGGAACTCTCCTCTGGAACTCTCTCCCCCCTCATCTCTGGAACTCTCTCCCTCCTTACCTCTGGAACTCTCCTCTGGAACTCTCTCCCCCCTCATCTCTGGAACTCTCTCCCCCCTCACCTCTGGAACTCTCCTCTGGAACTCTCTCCCCCCTCATCTCTGGAACTCTCTCCCCCTCATCTCTGTAACTCTCTCCCCCCCCCCATCTCTGGAACTCTCTCCCCCCTCACCTCTGGAACTCTCCTCTGGAACTCTCTCCCCCCTCATCTCTGGAACTCTCTCCCTCCTCACCTCTGGAACTCTCCTCTGGAACTCTCTCCCCCCTCATCTCTGGAACTCTCTCCCTCCTCACCTCTGGAACTCTCCTCTGGAACTCTCTCCCCCCTCATCTCTGGAACTCCCCCCTCACCTCTGGAACTCTTCTCTGGAACTCTCTCCCCCCTCATCTCTGGAACTCTCTCCCCCTCATCTCTGTAACTCTCTCCCCGCTCACCTCTGGAACTCTCTTCTCTGGAACTCTCTCCCCCCTCACCTCTGGAACTCTCCTCTGGAACTCTCTCCCCCCTCACCTCTGGAACTCTCCTCTGGAACTCTCTCCCCCCTCATCTCTGGAACTCTCTCCCCCTCATCTCTGGAACTCTCTTCTCCCTCACCTCTGGAACTCTTTCCTCTGGAACTCTCTCCCCCCTCACCTCTGGAACTCTCCTCTGGAACTCTCTCCCCCCTCATCTCTGGAACTCTCTCCCCCTCATCTCTGGAACTCTCTCCTCCCTCACCTCTGGAACTCTCTCCTCTGGAACTCTCTCCCTCCTCACCTCTGGAACTCTCCTCTGGAACTCTCTCCCCCCTCATCTCTGGAACTCTCTCCCTCCTCACCTCTGGAACTCTCCTCTGGAACTCTCTCCCCCCTCATCTCTGGAACTCTCTCCCCCCTCACCTCTGGAACTCTCCTCTGGAACTCTCTCCCCCCTCATCTCTGGACCTCTCTCCCTCCTCACCTCTGGAACTCTCCTCTGGAACTCTCTCCCCCCTCATCTCTGGAACTCTCTCCCTCCTCACCTCTGGAACTCTCCTCTGGAACTCTCTCCCCCCTCATCTCTGGAACTCTCTCCCTCCTCACCTCTGGAACTCTCCTCTGGAACTCTCTCCCCCCTCACCTCTGGAACTCTCTCCCCCTCATGTCTGGAACTCTCTCCTCCCTCACCTCTGGAACTCTCTCCTCCCTCACCTCTGGAACTCTCTCCCCCTCATGTCTGGAACTCTCTCCTCCCTCACCTCTGGAACTCTCTCCCCCCTCATCTCTGGAACTCTCTCCCCCCTCATCTCAGAAACCCGGACTCACTAAACTCCTTCAATAAACAGCTAAAAACTCACCTCTTCCTCCGAGCATACGACTCTTAGTTTCAACTTTGGACTCCTCTTTCCTGATTTTTAGTTTTGTGTGTCTGTCTCAGTGTGTGTGTGTGTGTGTGTGTGTGTGTGTGTGTGTGTGTGTGTGTGTGTGTGTGTGTGTGTGTGTGTGTGTGTGTGTGTGTGTGTGTGTGTGTGTGTGTGTGTGTGTGTGTGTGTGTGTGTGTGTGTGTGTCCTGAACTGTGAAGCGTCTTTGAGTTTTCGAAAAGCACTATATAAAACCAATGTATTATTATTATTATATTTTTTCTGGACAAAAATGACGCATAATCTTCTTGAAAACCAGTCAGAAATGTCCTTTACAAACTCTTCAACAGGGTTATTATTCTGAAACTAGTTTATTATGTTTGACTCTTTGTCCCGATTCAAGGGCTTCTCCCGTCGCTACGTTTCGAAGGCTGCTCGGCCGTGAGTTTTCTTCCGTGGAGAGAGTTTGAGCGAAGGACGTCTGGGCGTCATAAAACAATCGCCACGGTTTGACTTAGGGCTGTTTTAGCCCCAGATCAGGACTGCAGGGTTTGGGAGAAACAGAAAATTGAGATATTTCTGAGCAACGACATGATTGTGATTTTCTACATCCTGATGCTTTAAAAGTTGTATTTTGTTCAGAGTATAAATAGGAACTTAATGTCTGTTTTGCTGAAATTCATGTCTGCTCACACCTTTATTTATTTTATATAATTTTGTATGTGTTTTTTTGTCGTGTTTGTTCTGTTCAGGATTGTTCTTTTGTGTATTTGTTTTTGTTTTGTGTTGTACTTGTGTTCTTGTCGGCGGCACGGTGGCTGAGTGGATAGCACTCTCGCCTCTCAGCAAGAACATCCTGGGTTCAAATCCCAGTCAGAACAGGGCCTTTCTGAGTGGAGTTTGCATGTTCTCCCCGTGTCAGCGTAGGTTTCCTCCGGGTGCTCCGGTTTCCCCTACCACTAAAAACCTGCACAATAGGTCTGAATGTAAATGAGAGAGTGAATGGATGGTGTTGGAGCTGATGGTCCAGTGTGTTCTGGACTCGCTTCTGTCATCACCGTGTGTGGAAGGATTGGAACAATATCTGACTCTGAACATTGGAAAGTGCTTTGGGTCTGTGCCTTGGTCTCCCAATTCTCCCAATTTCCAAAAACATTGAAAGAAACGTAAAGTAAAACAATTTTTATAAATCAGTTTGATATAATGATAATGAAACACAATCTTTGAAAAAAATCTAACATTTCGAAACAATTCTAGATATAACATATATAAACATATATTAAGATTAAAAGATCCTTTATGACAAAATAAAGACACATTTCTTGAAATAAGACTAAACGACTTGTTCATCGGCAAATCTTGTTTGAACACAGTCAGACTAAAAGATTAAAAAAAAACAATCAATTCAAGCAAATGTTTCCTCATATTTATTCATTTTTTGCAGTGTAGTGTTAGCCGCAAATCTGAAATCTCCAAGATGCGAGAATGAAGTATAAAATCTCTGTCTTGTAAGTACAGTATGTTGTATCAAATGAGAAATATCTATTAGTATTTATTTTCTTATTATGTGATACAAAGACATACAAAAGTGATACATAGTGATACAGAAGTGAGAATGATTGGTAGAACAAGCAAAACAAAAAGTATTAGTGTTGCTATTAGTATTTATCAAAGGTCTTATCTCACGGATGTCGACCCATGATCCAGTCGTCCAGTCCGTTAAAAATGTCCAAATATGTTTTTCGAATGTCAACAAAGAGAGTATTTTCTTTGGAGTATTCGCTTCTGTCTGTGTCTCACTAAAACCAAACAATAATCCCACCTCTGCCTCTCGTTCGCTGCTGTCCTGCCCTTTCCGCTGAACTAAAGGTCGCCTGCAGGATTCAGCACACACTCTCAGAGCAAGACGCACACTCGCTGCAACGACACGCACAAACACATCCTCTTAAAACCACTTATTTGAATAATCCAACTCAAACTCTTGACGTCAATGACTCCAGTCAATCTGCCAAACAAAATAAGTGCACGGTTTAAACAAGTCCCGGGGCAGAACCAACCGTGACGCCTGAAAAAGCACTGGTCCAAGAATCCAATGCATTTAAAACATGTTCATAAAAGTCTAGTCAGCTTTGAGGAGATTGTGTTCGTGAAATAATTTACCATTGGATTAGTCATTTTGAGTTAATCTAGAATCTTATTTGGTATTTTTAAAGATGGCATAATCCAAATAGACTTTTCTACGCCATGTTATAATAGTTTTGTCCTTCTTCCTCTCTACTTTGGTTCTATATCCTCAAATATTCCACATTTGTCAAAGGTTATTACCTAAATATCCAAACGGCTTAACTCAACCTTTTCTGCGTTAAAACAATTTATATTTAATTGATGATAATGCGATTAAAGGGGAAGTAACATACAATATCTGACATTTCGGTATACAGCGAGAAAAACTACCGCTGGCGTGAAGAGAAGGTGGCGTTGTAACGGCGATGGGGAGGAGGAGGGTTGCGGCACGAGCTCAAGCTGGGAAAATGCTGCGACCACTGTTTAAATGCAGGCTGATAATGCATTCAGGCGGTGCTTTAAAGTAGAGCTGGGTGCAGAAGTGAATGAGTTTGTTTCTTTTATTCTGTACATTTAGCTAATTAGGAAAGTTTGTAAGTAAGTAAGTAAGTAAGTAATCTTTATTTATATACCGCCTTTTCACTGCACATCAGAGTCTCAAAGCGGTTTACAATTGTTATTTTTGGGAGTGGGGCCAGTACAGGAGGCACATGCCAGAACTATTGTACATATTTTTAGTGGTAGGGGAAACCGGAGCACCTGGAGGAAACCTACGCAGACACGGGGAGAACATGCAAACTCCACTCAGAAAGGCCCTGGTCCAACCGGGATTCCAACCCAGGACCTTCTTGCTGAGAGGCGAGAGTGCTAGCCACTCAGCCACCGTGCCGCCCGATTATTTGTACGATTATGTAGCTAAATAGCAGCATGCTAGGTCCTTTTTGATGCAATGTTTTCTTGTTTTTCATCTGTCACTAAACCATCTCCACAAACAAATAACATTGATAAATTGTTAAAGTTATTTTCCACACAGACAAATGAGATGACCTTATATGGGCGTGAGACTATGGAAGGGCAGTGGAGCGCAGGCGACGTCACGCATCATCGAACATAATAAGGAAACAAAACGCAGACTCCATGATTATAAACATATGGCTATTATTTCCAATTAGCACAGATGAATTAGCACCAGGCAAATGAGAATATTAAACATGTAGATCCAAACAGCCACAGCTATGAATAGACACGCCTGAAATGTCTGTATTTGGGAGAAGCTTCTGTCGGGTTTTTCTGAAGAGTTTTCCAATGTATTCAAAATATCTCTGGAGGATTGAGTCCACACATTTGCCTCAGTATTATATTCATGCTTATATTTCAGCTTTTCCTAAGTCAAGGTTTTATTTAAAAAGTATATGAAATCAACATTGAAAACCACTTGTGATTAAATAGGAATAGTCTACTGTACTTCTAGCCTGGTCTTATCCATCCGTTCACTCCGCTCAATCATCATGTCCTGCAGGTAACGTCTGGGTCTGGTCCCTGTGTTAGCGATTACAATCGGTTGAATTTCGACCGACCAATCAGAGAGCGCGGGAGGCGGGTGTTGTAGTTAGTTGTGAGTGACGTCAAGAGTTTGCGTCAAACGGGCAGGATGTAGTTTGGCGAAGAATGCGATAGTAAAGTAATCCGGTCTGGTTCTATCAAGAAATTTAAGCAGGAGCAAGAGGAATGTTTAGCAAATGTAGTCGCTGGAAAAAATGGTGGCGTTATTCCCCACGGGCTCCGTTAGCAGCAAAGGAGATGGCTAAAGCTAGGCTAAATGCTAACGTCAGTCGGGCGCACTGCATACGTCACGGTAAACTCAGATCAAATCATTTCAATCTGCAAAAGGAGTTAGCCCCTCCCACCTGTTAACGGAGTCAATGGAGCTAATCCAGACCTTAGTATGAAATGTAATCTGTACTATGGTGTGGTACGACCAGGCTACTGTACCTGTGTTTATTAGAGCAACTCTTTCATTGGAAGCTTTTAAGTCTAGTTTAAAGACACATTTTTACACCTTGGCTTTTAACACCAATTGAGTTTTACCACTTTATTTTTGCATGTGTGTGTGTGTGTGTATTTCCTGCTGTTTTCTTTAGTTTTTATCTTTCGTGCCTGTAACTGGTGCTGTTGTACATGTGCTCTACAAATAAAGTTGACATTGACATAAAATAAAAATGTCACCTTCTTCTGCGCAGACAGAGAAAACATTGAACTGGTGTCGGTCCATTTAAATCCATTTAAATCCAATTATTGCAGCAAAGGGAAAAAAACACCTTAACTCATTGACTGCCAGCCGTTTTTGATGATTTCACTGATTCTCAAGCACCACAGAATATTATTTCCTAAGACTATGTGAAATATGAAACCAGATTCTGAAAGACTGGATTGTCTACTTTGATTTGTAATTTGTAATTTGTAATTTTCTTTATTTAGAGAAACAGGGACAGTGTACAATAAACATTAACCCCAAGGGGAGAGATGCATTGTACCAAGTTATAGCTCAAGAGCTAATTTCCACCCGTAGTCCCTGGGCAGGCTGGTGTTATAGTAAAAAACATAAAAACATCATGCACACATGGATAATGGCATTTACATTGATCAAGTTCATAATAGTAAAAGCAAATCTTCACATGCACAACAATCAGATACAAACTCTTATACACACCTTTCATTTACTCAGGTCTACTCTTTTAGACCTCAGAACACACATACAGACATACATCCAGTTACATGTGGATGCAAGATTGATTTGACAGGAGCCATTTCTTTGCCAGGCGTGAGAATGTGTAAAAGTTTGTGCTTGTTATCAGCTCTGTAGGCAGCATATTCCACTGATCAGCAAAAATAAGTTTGTTTCTAGCTGTTTTTATTGTCCTGTAATCCCCAGTCGAATATAGGGTCTCAGACAAATATGTCAATGGCGGTCAATGAGTTAATGTTTACTGTTAAAGGGGAAATTCTTCTTAATAATTTTACACAAACCAGACCTATTGGTTCAAACTAAACAGCAATGAAAAATAAATGAGAGTCGAGGTCTCGCACATGAAAGCGAATCCGCGGCAGATGAAAGAGGCTGCGTTCCCCAAAGTGAAGGAGGCGGGATTATGTGAACAGTGAAATGTTGGGATCCTGGAGTGGAGCACGGAATATGTCATGTGTTGTATCGTGTTGTTGTGATGACCAAAATGAACCAATATAAAACCACCAAACAGACAAGGAAGTAAGTTCAATTCGATTTGTTTTTGTGTAGCCCTAAATCACAGTGTTTTTACGGAGGACTTTACAAAACCGTCGAATTTGCCAACACGGATCAGAGAATCAAACCGTTCAAACACAAGAAATGCAATGATCTTTTAAAACACATTGAGCAGTGTGATGAAACAGATCTGTGAAGCATTTTTTATATTATTATTATTATATAGTAGTAATAATAATAATAATAATACATCAAACTTATGTAGCGCTTTTTTAGACACTCAAGACAAAACACATAACAATGAACATTTTAGAACAAAACAAAAATATGGAAAGGCTGAAACAGGTGGGTTTAGAGAAGATATTTAAAGTTCTGCAGTGAGTCTGAGTTTCTGATGAGTTGAGGGAGTGAGTTCCAGAGAGTGGGGGCAGCTGCAGCGAAGGCTCAGTGTTTAGTCCTGAGGGAGTGAGGAGGTCTGAGTCTGAGGGAGTGAGGGAGTGAGGAGGTCTGAGTCTGAGGGAGTGAGGGAGTGAGGAGGTCTGAGTCTGTGGGAGTGAGGGAGTGAGGAGGTCTGAGTCTGTGGGAGTGAGGGAGTGAGGAGGTCTGAGGGAGTGAGGAGGTCTGAGTCTGTGGGAGTGAGGGAGTGAGGAGGTCTGAGTCTGTGGGTCTGAGGGAGTGAGGAGGTCTGAGTCTGTGGGTCTGAGGGAGTGAGGAGGTCTGAGTCTGTGGGTCTGAGGGAGTGAGGAGGTCTGAGGGAGTGAGGAGGTCTGAGTCTGAGGGAGTGAGGAGGTCTGAGTCTGTGAGTCTGAGGGAGTGAGGAGGTCTGAGGGAGTGAGGAGGTCTGAGTCTGAGGGAGTGAGGAGGTCTGAGTCTGTGAGTCTGAGGGAGTGAGGAGGTCTGAGGGTCTGAGGGAGTGAGGAGGTCTGAATCTGAGGGTCTGAGGGAGTGAGGAGGTCTGAATCTGAGGGTTTGAGGGAGTGAGGAGGTCTGAATCTGAGGGTCTGAGGGAGTGAGGAGGTCTGAGTCTGAGGGAGTGAGGAGGTCTGAGGGAGTGAGGAGGTCTGAGTCTGAGGGAGTGAGGAGGTCTGAGTCTGAGGGTCTGAGGGAGTGAGGAGGTCTGAGTCTGAGGGAGTGAGGAGGTCTGAGTCTGAGGGAGGAGGTCTGAGTCTGAGGGAGGAGGTCTGAGTCTGAGGGTCTGAGGGAGTGAGGAGGTCTGAGTCTGTGGGTCTGAGGGAGTGAGGAGGTCTGAGTCTGAGGGAGTGAGGAGGTCTGAGTCTGAGGGAGTGAGGAGGTCTGAGTCTGAGGGAGTGAGGAGGTCTGAGGGAGTGAGGAGGTCTGAGGGAGTGAGGAGGTCTGAGTCTGTGGGTCTGAGGGAGTGAGGAGGTCTGAGTCTGAGGGTCTGAGGGAGTGAGGAGGTCTGAGTCTGTGGGTCTGAGGGAGTGAGGAGGTCTGAGTCTGTGGGTCTGAGGGAGTGAGGAGGTCTGAGTCTGAGGGTCTGAGGGAGTGAGGAGGTCTGAGTCTGAGGGTCTGAGGGAGTGAGGAGGTCTGAGTCTGTGGGTCTGAGGGAGTGAGGAGGTCTGAGTCTGAGGGTCTGAGGGAGTGAGGAGGTCTGAGTCTGAGGGTCTGAGGGGAGTGAGGAGGTCTGAGTCTGTGGGTCTGAGGGAGTGAGGAGGTATAAGTCTGAGGGAGTGAGGAGGTCTGAGTCTGAGGGAGTGAGGAGGTCTGAGTCTGTGGTTCTGAGGGAGTGAGGAGGTATAAGTCTGAGGGAGTGAGGAGGTCTGAGTCTGAGGGAGTGAGGAGGTCTGAGTCTGTGGTTCTGAGGGAGTGAGGAGGTATAAGTCTGAGGGAGTGAGGAGGTCTGAGTCTGAGGGAGTGAGGAGGTCTGAGTCTGTGGTTCTGAGGGAGTGAGGAGGTCTGAGTCTGTGGGTCTGAGGGAGTGAGGAGGTCTGAGTCTGTGGGTCTGAGGGAGTGAGGAGGTCTGAGTCTGAGGGAGTGAGGAGGTCTGAGTCTGTGGGTCTGAGGGAGTGAGGAGGTCTGAGTCTGAGGGAGTGAGGAGGTCTGAGTCTGTGGGTCTGAGGGAGTGAGGAGGTCTGAGTCTGAGGGAGTGAGGAGGTCTGAGTCTGAGGGTCTGAGGGAGTGAGGAGGTCTGAGTGTGAGGGAGTGAGGAGGTCTGAGTCTGTGGGTCTGAGGGAGTGAGGAGGTCTGAGTCTGAGGGAGTGAGGAGGTCTGAGTCTGTGGGTCTGAGGGAGTGAGGAGGTCTGAGTCTGTGGGTCTGAGGGAGTGAGGAGGTCTGAGTCTGAGGGAGTGAGGAGGTCTGAGGGATGGAAGGGGGTGATGAGGTCTCTGGAGCGGGGGTGGGTGCGCAGGCGGGCGGCGGAGTTCTGGATGAATTGTAGTTTTTGGACACGTATGGAAGGGAGACCGAAGAGGAGGCTGTTGCAGGAGTCCAGTCTGGAGACGATGAAGGATGGATTGAGAGAGGGAGGGGAGGAGGCGAGCCATGATGAGGGAGGGGAGGAGGCGAGCCATGATGAGGGAGGGGAGGAGGGTGATGATGAGGGAGGGGAGGAGGCGAGCCATGATGAGGGAGGGGAGGAGGCGATGATGAGGGAGGGGAGGAGGCGATGATGAGGGAGGGGAGGAGGCGATGATGAGGGAGGGGAGGAGGCGATGATGAGGGAGGGGAGGAGGCGAGCGATGAGGGAGGGGAAGAGGCGAGCGATGAGAGAGGGGAAGAGGCGGTGATGAGGGAGGAGAGGAGGTGATGATGAGGTAGGAGAGGAGGCGATGATGAGGGAGGGGAGGAGGTGATGATGAGGGAGGGGAGGAGGTGATGAGGGAGTAGAGGAGGCGAGTGATGAGGGAGGGGAGGAGGTGATGATGAGGGAGGAGAGGAGGCGAGTGATGATGAGGGGGGGAGGAGGCGATGATGACGGAGGGGAGGAGGTGATGATGAGGGAGGGGAGGAGGTGATGATGGGCCTCCCAGTCCCTGTGCTCCTCAGAGTCCCAGCAGGAGGCCAGTCCCTGTGCTCCTCAGAGTCCCAGCAGGAGACCAGTCCCTGTGCTCCTCAGAGTCCCAGCAGGAGGCCAGTCCCTGTGCTCCTCAGAGTCCCAGCAGGAGACCAGTCCCTGTGCTCCTCAGAGTCCCAGCAGGAGACCAGTCCCTGTGCTCCTCAGAGTCCCAGCAGGAGACCAGTCCCTGTGCTCCTGAGAGTCCCAGCAGGAGGCCAGTCCCTGTGCTCCTCAGAGTCCCAGCAGGAGACCAGTCCCTGTGCTCCTCAGAGTCCCAGCAGGAGACCAGTCCCTGTGCTCCTCAGAGTCCCAGCAGGAGACCAGTCCCTGTGCTCCTCAGAGTCCCAGCAGGAGGCCAGTCAGTAGATTCTGTCGTAGATTGTTTATGAATTGTCTCAGAAATTCTGTAGGAGACGACGAGACTGCGCCAACATCGCCATCTATTGGTGGAAGTGGAAAATCAAATTTCGCTGTGTAGATTTAAATGATAAAACTGGTGGAATTTTTGAGGAAATAAACGGCAGAAAACAACTTCTTCACCATCAAGTAACACGTTTTTAAACAGAGCATTCAGACAGAAGGGGCCATGGATGCGTCACGCAGATTTGTATAAGAAGTTTCTCATATTAGTGATGAAGGAAGCAGGTCCGGTTAGGGTTAGGACAATATTGTCACATGGTAAAATGTTAAAATAAAAAGTACATATTTCCACAAAACACTAATTTACATGAAACACATCTGACTGTTTGGGTAATTTAAGGTATTGCCATCGTGTTTGTGATTTCCCAAAGAAATAGTAATGTGGAGATTATGAGCTTTGTGTATAATACATCTGCCCACACAGACTATAATGAAATATGTACCAGACTCTATGTTGACGGTTGAACATTTAAAAAGACTTAGTTCGACTGTTTGACCGTAGACTGATCTTTACTGTAGAGGAGAGTGCAGCTCGTTGGTTATAAAGGCTGCGCGAGACATTTTAATTTAATTCATTTAATGCTTTGTTTTGGACTGAGTCTGGTTTAGGCACTTTTGGAAATTGAACACTTTGTCTTGCAGCAGATTTGTGTTTTGCGGTGACAACGGGGCCATTTGCCTGACGTTTCTTCAGCTTGTTAACACTGTCTTCACTGTTGAATGACGCCGATGCAAAACCATGACTCATTTGAGAGATCCACGAAGAATGTGTTTTGTAACCAAAGAAATAATGATCGAACTGCTCTGTTTCTGCAGAAACAAGACATTCAAACGAACGGTACTTTTGTTTTGAGCAGTGAAACTCATAAATTCCACTTCACAAACTGTGATTAGAGTGACGTCTTTGTCTCCAAAATATTGTTGTGTTTAAACTCTCTGAAGATCTAACTTGTTTCATTTTCAGTTGAATGTCCAACCCTAACGACAACCCTCTTCAGGCAGGCGTTGCAGATTTGCAACAACTTCCTTTCTTATTACCTTTCTACTCCACGTCCATTTGTTTGACCCTTTTTCACTCAGAAGAACCACTGGATTCAGTTTTCCACCTGCCCACCAGGGGGCGGATCTGTCTGACTTCCCAAATGTCAGTCTCCAGATTTTCTCTGCATCAATTTTAAGTCAGTATCACTACAAACCTCCTAAAATCTGAAACCAAAACTGCATAAAATGAAAGATGAATATGTATAGATAAAGCTCATGCCAATTAGTAGATAATATAGTTCCTCTGGGTTTTTCCCTGGGTCAGCTCAATTTACCACAGCCGGCCAATGTTGCAAATCTGCAACATCCCAGAATGCATTGCCTGTGAAGGTCTCTCTTTTAAAAAAAAAGGCCAGGATTGTATATTACTGCCCCATATGATAACTTTTCCCAAATATCTGAATTTTCCTGATGTTCAAATTGAATTGGATCCTGAGAGAGTTAATCCTTTTACTGTTTTTCTTTCATAAATATTTCAGTGGTTGTCCAACAGAAAGTCTTGCCAAAGTAAAATGTCATGAACAAATAAGTTTTTCTCTCTATGTACATATATTTTTGTATCATATTATCAGTGTTTTTGGGTGAATACTCGTTTGTGCAGGCTTGATATTGAACTATATAAGGGAGAATGTACAGAACGCAGGCCATTATCAGAAAGTAAGCACCGACAGGCTTCCACCCTGCAAGTACGTATTTTCTGATAATGATCTGTGTTCGATACATTATCCCGCTTATGGCCATCTGCCTGAACACATAAAATAAACTTCAGTCCACTTTTATGAATGCCGAAAGGTTTTTTAAAGACTGCAAATAAAATAGTTCCCAACTCAATGTCGGCTCTTCCCTTCATCGTGAAGCAGAAATCACCAAGCTTTGGATTGTTTACTGACTGATAGTGAGCTGGGACTAGACCGTTGTGAGACAGGTTAGTTTTACCTATATAAATAAAGCTTACTTACTTACTTACTTACTTACTTACCTACTTACCTACTGATGATGTTGCTGTAACTCGCCTTGTAAGCCTGGCGTGGCTAGGCGAGTAAGCTAAGCTAGGGTAGCGACTTCTTTATAATAAACTGGACGTTCCAGTTGAAGGTGCAGTTGTAAATGAGGAATGGTTGTGTATCTCTGGGTAAGTTGAAAGTCGGACCCCGTTGACCTCAGGAGCTTCTCTCACAGAGACAGAAGTAGTGTCAGTGAAAGCTCGTTGACAAAGTGGCCGGACTCGAGTGACACAAATGGCATTGCCATTGACAGCTGTCATTATTGGTTTGAGATGTCTGTTATCAAGAGATAATGCTCGTTAGAACGTTTTGAAATTACATTCAACTCAATGGAGCGTTCTTCTTCTACTGTGAAGTATCATAAAATCATAATTGGAGCATTTGAAAACATATAATTAAATGAGCAACATTTCTTTTGATCATAAACGTGGTAATGAAATAAAACAGTTTCCTTGACAGCGTCGTGTAAATAACCACTCTTTGTCTCATGCCGTGAAAAGTCACAAATGTTTACTCTTCTCGCACGTTCTGGTCTGAGCTCATGTCGAGTATAAGAGGCTTTCACAAATGCAGATGAAATTCATTTTCCTTTTCTCTTTCCAGCACATAATCCCAAAGTGTGTGTCGTTTTCATAGGGCTCGGAGATCTCTGCGATTTCAACACCGCCCCTTTAAGTGCCCCATTTCAAATGCATTGAAAACAGATTTGGGGCAAAGTGGGGGGAGGGAATCAATTTGAAACGCTTTTGACTTATGAAACTGAATGTGACATTGATTGGCTCCGGCCCGGCCACTGTGTAAACAAACGGCAAATGCAGATTCAAATTAGTCCGATTCCGCTGAAGGTCAAAGAACACCACACATTATTCTAACATGGACAGCAGCAAAACTCACAGCTACAAAGATGAAAAATGTGAAATTAGTCATCCAGACTTAGGAGACGTTTTTAATGATTTATTACTTCATAGCTTTGGGTGTTTTCAGTAACAGGATTGAATTCAAGCTAAGCAAAGAGAAATGGATCAGAGAGAAACTCAAAATATCATTCTCAACGTGCGGGAAACATGTGCAGGTCGTTCGAAGCAGCTTTTTGTCCATAAATCAGATTAATCATTGTACCATAATGAAAGTATGTGTGCATTACTTTAAAGGGGATGTCTGTAACTTCGATTGTATTTATTTTGACCGTGTGACCCTGTAGTTTATCTGTATTTTTAACGTTCAATTAAATAAATCCTCTTCTCAGGAATACTGCATACAATATAAAATACCTTTAAAAATATCCACAGATACTTTCAGCTCCGGGAGTAGTTTTTTTATGTTTTTATTTCCCAATAATTTATATTTATATATTTTTTTGTATGACTTGCTCTATGTTTTTATTTTTCTTACGTGCCAATGTCTAAAACATAATTTCACTTGTTGGTCTAAATCTTAAGTGAAGCCACTCGACAGAATCCTAATGAAGTTTCCAAACAATGTGATTTTCATGTAATTACAGCCTGAATTATAAAACCATCATTTAGTTTCATAATGATTCGTTTTGTTGTAGAATAAGTCGCTTTCCTGCAGACAAAGGGGAACTCTTCATTAACAGTCTGCTCTGGACGTGACAGAAGTCGGTCCAAATGTCAGTCCTCCACGCCCCGCCGCGCTCCACTCCGCAAAGTGCTCTCAAGACATTACCAAAAATGAATGAATAATTGAGGCTAAATCATAATCCAAGCTTTTTTATTTTAGATCCATCCGCAGATCTGACCTGGTCTTGTTCTCAGAAACAAACATTTTAATAATGCAGGAGGCTCCAAGGGACATCATGGAGATTATAACCTGTTACTTCTATATTTGCCTTTCTAATGGTTTGATTCTTTAATCTGCTGTTGGCAAATCGACAATAGGAGTTATTGTTGTGATTTTGGGTTGTGCAAAAATAGAAGAAGATAATTTAGCATGTAGCATATTCCATACAAGATAATAGATAAATAAATAAGATGTTTTTTAAATAATAATAACGACATTATTATAATACTACAAATAAATACCTACACTATCTCTTCCTAGAACTTGCAAATTCAGCTGTAAGCTCGTAAACACCCGATCCAGATAATAAGCTAGAATTTCCCTCTTGATATTGATATTATAATAGATCCATGAGTCATACCCCAAAAGCCTTGCTGCTGTTATTGCAGCAAAAAGGGGTTCGTCAAAGTATGAACTCTGCTGAATGAATACTGTGCAGGCCCAACTCTTAGTTTTTCTATTTTTTGAAAAATATCAGAATCATTTTTTTTTTTGTTTTTTTTATTCTTCATCTGGTTGGGACAGAACATGTTAAAGAACACATCACTCCGGACTGTACCTTGGGCTAATATCCATCCGTTGTCGCACAGTCGCACTCACAAACACACACTCATTCACCCTGAACTACTGAACATGTTTTTAGTGGTAGCACCTGGAGGAAACCTACGCAGACACAGGGAGAACATGCAACAAACTCAACCTAGAAAGGCCCTGTTCCAACTGGGATTCAAACCCAGAACCTTCTTGCTGAGAGGCTAGAGTGCTAACCACTCAGCCCATGTATTATTTTACTTTCACTTCACACTAGTCTGTTATATTTGTGTGAACTTTCAGTGAAAAATCATAATAAAATGTGTATAAATCTGTGTTTATACTTTCGCAGGTCACTGTCTATGATTAACTAATGAGTTCCTAACGAGAGTGATGAAGTCCACAACTCAGACACTTTGAATGTTTTCTATGGACTTTGAAATGCTTTGATGTTTGGGTTGGATGAGTGCTATACAGATAAAGGTACAATGGTGTGTTCAGGCTGGAGTCCCCCACGCGCACCCTGACCATGGAGGCTCCGAGGGGGGTGGAGCTGAGCGCAGCACAGGGGCTTCTGCAGATCAGCGGCAGAAAAGACCTGAAGCTGGAGTCCACAGAAGGAGAGGTGAGAACAGTGTCCTCCTCGGGCGCTCTCATTCTCTCTCTCTCTCTCTGGTCCTCTTTAGCGCCGGTACCTGGAGCAATTCAGATGTGAGGCTCCCGAAGAGAACGTGGATTAGAGAAATTCATGCTTCAGCTAAAAGTAATGACGCTTAATTTGGTGTGCGCCGCCGGAATGTCAATAAGGACTGAACTTTAATATCACCGGCTCCAAATTACCTCAATCTTGGTTACAGCCTTTAGAGTGATTGGATAAGTGGGTACAGAGAATACTGCAGAAAAAGGGACGGAAAATAAGTCAAAAGTGGCTTGAATTCTGAAAATATATCTTAAAGTGAATTTCAGTTACTTCTCAAACTGTGAAAAGAGGGTGAAAGTTTTTGGAGACAAGCACTGGTTAGGCCCGCCCATTCTCACCTCCGCAGCTTCCTGATTGGTCGAACTTAATTCAAATCCTTGAGGCCCCTTGTTATTGGTTTAAACTGTTCTGCTCCCGGATGTCTTACTTGTCGTAGTTATGTCGAGGCGAGAGACTATTTCATATGTTTTATTAGGGAAAAATACTGACTGTACATAATAGTCCAGTGTAGCATGGTCAATAATATACTTTGAAAAAAAAAAAAATTAAAGATTATGACATCACCTTTAAAGCTGGAGAACCTAACTTTCAAACAGCAAAAAATAGTTTCTATTTTTGGCTTTTCCAGTGAGAAATAACCAGTCTGTACTCAGCCAATCAGCTCTCAGTATACAAAAGATCACATGTTTTCTCACAAGATTAAAGACAGCAGGTTGTGGTCGGAATTGTTGTCAAAATGTTAGGTACATCAGCTTTAATATGAGTACATTTTGACGCCATGCCAATGGGACAAGCAGAAAGAGGATGAGAAATAAATCAAAAATGCACTGGGTATGGAGAGATGCATTGTGGGTATAACAGAAGAGCCACTTTACACCTGTGGTCTTTGAGCAGGTTGATGTCGCAGGAAAACTAAAGTCCACGGATGACACAACAACACAAAACCAGACAAAAGTTATAATTGTGTTTAGTATACAAGTCTTCACTTTGGCGTAGGAACAAAAATCAAAAGGCTTAAAATGTTGTTTTAAAGCAATTAAATGTACTCTATTCAAGATAAAATAAACATGTAAGCATTTATTACCTTATAGATTATGCTTTCATTGGAGTTTTTTGCAGTGTTGCGTATTCCACAGCCGTTATAACAATGAAACCTTCAGCAGTACTTGTTGTTCTCGTTCTCCACACGATGAGAACAAACTATATTCTTCAATAGAATACTGAAGAATAGAATTATTATTTTTTTTGCAAAGGGAAACAGACAAACCAACACGTCCCAAACATCCAAACGTGTTTCCAACGTACAGCCACATAACAGACATTTATTTAAAGATGAGATAAATCGCATCTTTCTTGTTTTCTGACTTGATTTAAAGTGATTGTCTGGAGTTTGTCAGAAAGAGAGACAGAGAGGTGCTTGATTTGAAAAAAACGACGCAAGCTCCTCCCCCTTCCTTTCTGATTGGTTTACACCTACGTTTCCGTAACACTTTGAAATGTTAATCAGAGAACACATTATACATATACATTATTAATACACATGCACGGAGGTTTTCAGAATTATTTGTGAACGTTTTAATAAAAATAAAAATGTTTTTATGCACAAAAAAGCGATCGTGGCAAACCAGGAAGTGCTATTGTCAGGAATTGCACATTATAGGACACATCTGCAGAGGATCTGATTATGGATATAGGTTCATATATAAATGATTATGGATATAGGTTCATATATAAATGATTATGGATATAGGTTCATATATACATAAGTACCTCAGCGCGGATGTTCAGAATTCTTTGTTCAGTTTTCATGTAGTTCCAGAGCCTAATAGAGGCTCCGCGAAAACAAACAACTGAGCATGAGCAGCTGCAGCATCAGCGCCGATGATTGACAGCCCTTGGCATGACTCGATTGGTTAACCTCGACGGCACCGTGGATTCTGAACTATAGCTAAGAGCAGGGAAGGCGGGACTTGCCCGTAATATTAGAATTAATAAAATGACTTATTTTATATCAACATTTAAGGCCAGGAGGTCAATTTAGCACATTTCCTAAAATTTGTAATTAATTTAGAGTTACAGACTATCACTTTAAATCCATAGAAACAAGAATAAAACTCAGGTTAAAGTGGTTTTCATTTTGATGTATTTTTTTATAGATACAGTCACTGATTATTGTTCCTGAACCAGTCATATAGTAAGTAAGTAATGTTTATTTATTTATATAGCACATGTTACAGACCAAGGTACAGACCCAAAGCACTTTCCAATGTTCAGAGTCAGATATTGTTCCAATCCTTCCACACACGGTGATGACAGAAGCGAGTCCAGAACACACTGGACCATCAGCTCCAACACCATCCATTCACTCTCTCATTTACATTCAGACCTATTGTGGATGTTTTTAGTGGTAGGGGAACCCGGAGCACCCGGAGGAAACCTACGCAGACACGGGGAGAACATGCAAACTCCACTCAGAAAGGCCCTGTTCCGACCGGGATTCGAACCTTCTTGCTGAGAAGCGAGAGTGCTAACCACTCAGCCACCGTGGCGCCCAATATAGGGTTGATTCTACAGGGGTGGTGCAGGCGTTTTCGCTGAAAGGACAAAAAATCCAATGTTTACTAAATTCTGCAAACACATTCTGTCTGGTCAGGATCGACACGAGAGTTTCTAAACATTCTGAATATAAAATGATAAATGCTTTGGTAATGTTTATAATGATTTCAGTCAAACAGGTGTTTTTGTGACACACCTGAATAATATATTTAAAACAGTCCTTCATTAGCATAACTACCAACAGCAAGACTTCCTGGACTAGAACCGTTTAATCCAGGGGTGTCAAACTTATCTTGGTTGAGGGCTGAATTAAAAAAGAAAGGGCAGGTCAGGGGTGGCAGTCCAGGGGGCAGCTCCCCCTTGGACTGCCACCTTAACGTGGTGGGGGAGTTTGAGTACTCGGATGATCCTGGGAGCTATGCTGTCTGGGGCTTCATGCCCCTGGTAGGGTCTCCCATGGCAGACAGGTCTCGTGTGACGAGTCAGACAAAGAGCAGTCCAGAAGACACCATGGACAGCACTCATACGAAACCAGTGACGTCGCCCGGCATGGCGCAGCCGGGGCCCCACCCTGGAGCCAGGCCTGGGGTCGGGGCTCGTAGGCGAGCGCCTGGTGGCCGGGCCTTAGCCCACGGGGCCCGGCCGGGCTCAGCCCGAATGGACGACGTGGGCAGTCCCTCCTGTGGGCCCACCACCTGCAGAGGGGTCCGTGGTGGCATGGTGCAGAGAGGACTGGGCAGCAGTCGAAGGCGGAGACCTCGACGACCCAGTCCGCACACACAACAGCTGGCTCTCGGGACGTGGAATGTCACCTCACTGGGGGGGAAGGAGCCCGAGCTTGTGAGGGAGGTTGAGCGATACCGACTAGAGATAGTCGGCCTCACCTCCACACACAGCTTGGGCTCTGGAACCCAACTCCTTGAGAGGGGTTGGACGCTCCACTTTTCTGGTGTTTCCCGCGGGGAGAGGCGGCGAGCTGGGGTGGCCATTCTCATTGCCCCCCATCTCAGCCGCCACGTGTTGGAGTTCTCCCCGGTGAATGAGAGGGTCGCGTCCCTCCGCCTCCGGGTGGGGGACAAGTCTCTCACTGTTGTGACGGCCTACGGGCCTAACAGCAGTGCAGAGTACCCGGCCTTCTTGGAGTCCTTGGGAGGGGTACTGGACAGTGCACCGCCCGGGGACTCCGTTATTCTCCTGGGGGACTTCAACGCCCATGTGGGAAACGCCAGTGACACTTGGAGAGGGGTGATCGGGAAGAGCGGCCCCCCTGATCTGAACCCGAGCGGTGTTCAGTTGTTGGACTTCTGTGCCAGTCACAGTTTGTCCATCACGAACACCATGTTCGAGCACAAGGGTGTCCACCAGTGCACGTGGCACCAGGACACCCTAGGCCGGAGGTCGATGATCGACTTTGTTGTCGTATCATCTGACCTTCGACCGCGTGTCTCGGACACTCGGGTAAAGAGAGGGGCGGAGCTGTCAACCGATCATCACCTGGTCGTGAGTTGGATCCGCTGGCAGGGGAAGAAGCCGGTCAGACCTGGCAGACCCAAGCGTATAGTGAGGGTCTGCTGGGAACGTCTCGCTGAGCCCCCTGTCAGACGGACTTTCAACTCACACCTCCGGGAGAGTTTCTCCCAGGTCCCGGTGGAGGAGGGGGACATGGAGTCCGAGTGGACCATGTTCTCTGCCTCAATCGCCGATGCGGCGGCCCGTAGCTGTGGTCGCAAGGTCTCTGGTGCTGGTCCCGGCGGCAACCCCCGAACCCGGTGGTGGACACCGGCAGTAAGGGAAGCTGTCAGGCTGAAGAAGGAGTCCTATCGAGCCATGATGGTTCGGGGGACTCCTGAGGCAGCTGTCCAGTACCGGCAGGCCAAGCGTGCCGCGGCCCGGGCTGTTGCAGAGGCAAAAACCCGGGACTGGGAGGAGTTCGGAGAGTCCATGGAGCATGACTATCGGTCGGCCTCAAAGAAATTCTGGCAAACCGTCCGGCGCCTCAGGAGGGGGAAGCAGTTCTTTGCCAACACCATGTACGGTGCGGGTGGAGAGCTGCTGACCTCAACGGGGGATATTGTCGGGCGGTGGAAGGAATACTTTGAGGTTCTCCTCAATCCCCCCGTCACGTCCTCTGTCTCAGAGGCAGAGGCTGAGGATGCTGGGGCGGATACATCCATCTCCCTGGCTGAGGTCACCAAGGTGGTTGGTAGCCTCCATGGTGGCAAGGCTCCGGGTGTGGATGAGATCCGCCCTGATTATCTAAAGTCTCTGGATGTTGTAGGACTGTCTTGGCTGACACGTCTCTGCAACATCGCGTGGCGATCGGGGGCGGTGCCAATGGAGTGGCAGACCGGGGTGGTGGTCCCTCTCTATAAGAAGGGGGACCGGAGGGTGTGTTCCAATTATCGTGGGATCACACTCCTCAGCCTCCCCGGTAAGGTCTACTCCAAGGTACTGGAGAGGAGGCTACGGCCGATGGTCGAATCTCGGATCCAGGAGGAGCAGTGTGGTTTTCGTCCCGGTCGCGGAACACTGGACCAGCTCTATACTCTCCATCGGATACTCGAGGGTTCATGGGAGTTCGCCCAACCTGTCCACATGTGCTTTGTGGATTTGGAGAAGGCGTTCGACTGTGTTCCCCGGGGTGTCCTTTGGGGGGTTCTCCGGGAGTACGGGGTCGGGGGTCCTCTGCTGAGGGCCATCCGGTCCCTGTATGACCGGAGCCAGAGCTGTGTTCGCATTGCCGGCAGTAAGTCAGACCTGTTCCCGGTGAATGTTGGCCTCCGACAGGGCTGCCCTTTGTCACCGGTTCTGTTCACTGTATTTATGGACAGAATATCTAGGCGCAGCCAGGGGTCGGAGGGGGTCCGGTTCGGGGACCACAGGATTTCATCTCTGCTGTTTGCGGACGATGTTGTCCTGTTGGCTCCAACGAACCAGGACCTGCAGCATTCACTGGGACGGTTTGCAGCCGAGTGTGAAGCGGCTGGGATGAGAATCAGCACCTCCAAATCTGAGGCCATGGTGCTCGACCGGAAAAAGGTGCCCTGCCCTCTTCAGGTGGGTGGAGAGGTCCTTCCTCAAGTGGAGGAGTTCAAGTATCTCGGGGTCTTGTTCACGAGTGAGGGAAGAATGGAGCGTGAGATTGACAGGCAGATCGGTGCAGCGTGCGCAGTTATGCGGTCGCTGTATCGGACCGTTGTGGTGAAGAGGGAGCTGAGCCGAAAGGCAAAGCTCTCGATTTACCGGTCAATCTTCGTCCCCTCCTTCACCTATGGTCATGAGCTTTGGGTAATGACCGAAAGAACGAGATCGCGGATACAAGCGGTCGAAATGAGCTTCCTCCGCAGAGTGGCTGGGCGCTCCCTTAGAGATAGGGTGAGGAGCTCAGTCACACGGGAGGAGCTCGGAGTAGAGCCGCTGCTTCTCCACGTCGAGAGGAACCAGTTGAGGTGGCTCGGGCATCTGTTCCGGATGCCTCCTGGACGCCTCCCTGGGGAGGTGTTCCGGGCACGTCCCACCGGGAGGAGGCCCCGCGGAAGACCTAGGACACGCTGGAGGGACTATGTCTCTCAGCTGGCCTGGGAACGCCTTGGGGTCCCCCCGGACGAGCTGGAGGAAGTGTGTGTGGATAGGGAAGTCTGGGCGTCTCTGCTTAGACTGCTGCCCCCGCGACCCGGCAACGGATAAAGCGGAAGAAAATGGATGGATGGATGGATGGAAGGGCAGGTCAGGGACCGAAAAAATATGGGTTTCATTTATTAAATTCTTTTATAATATGAAGGTCTCTAAATAAATGACTTGTTTCACATTAGTTGGACATTCTTTTCTGAATATAATTAGTTCAGTTCCTGTGATTGAACCAAAACTGGACCAAATATTAAAGGTTAATTTTCTACTTCTGTGTGGATCATCAAGACCAGAGGTGTCCAAACCGGTCCAGAAAGGAGTCTGCTCTGCTCCTGCTGGGTCTGACAGAAAACCTGCAGCCACTGGACCGGTTTGGACACCTCTGATCAAGACCATTGGTCCCCCCAACTGTCAATCATTCTGGTGATTTGTGCTCGTCCAATAAGAGCAGAGAGATTTGTTTGAAAAAGTGGAGAGGGCGGTTCTTTCCTAAGAAAATTGGGAAATCCTTCATATCTTTAAGAAGAAATGTAATTGAAAACTAGTAAAAGACATAACATTATAATACTAACTTATAATTACATGTTAGCTTAATATTTCTCATGGAATTAAATGTTATGGTTGTTTTTTTAGTAATGGATAACATGCCATTGTCGCCAAATAACATCAATGCTGCTATTTAATATAATCATTTAAAATCATCTCAGGGGCCACTGGAAATGGTGTCGCGGGCCGGATCTGGCTCTTGGGCCTTGACTTTGACACCTGTGGTTTAAACCAATGACAAGGGGCCTCAAGGATTTGAATTAAGTTCGACCAATCATGAGGCTGCGGAGCCGAGCATGGGTGGGTCTAAACCGTCTTCAGAAAGTTTTGTTCCTCTTGTCAGTTTGAAAAGTTACTGACATTAACCTGAGAGCAGATCTGTCGAGTTCTTCTGCCGAGAGAAAAAGCCATAACGCAGATTTTAATATCCAGGACGAAAAGGAGTGATTGATAATAAAATTGTTCAATCTTCTACCCACTGCTTTATCCACATTCTGTTGAATGAGTGAAGGACTGGAGCCGAAAAAGTGTTGCCTCCTTCAGTCTCTTTTCAAACTCTTTCTGCATCTCGTTTATAGTTTTTTAAGTTTGAAATCAATAATTTCCTACATCTGCTTCATGATCACACTAAAACCTATATAAATCTTGAACCTCCTATTTGCAAAAGGCGCCAATATGTCTGAATAATAATATGTCTATTTTACATTTCTCATGTTGTTGATCTGAAATATTCTGAATAATAGTCATTTTCCCGACATAAACCACTGATGTCATAGATTATCACAATATAGTCGGCAGAAGCGTTCCAGACATGTCCTGGAAAATGCTTCAAAAATATTGATAAAAGTGAATCATTCGTCATTTTTCCATACGCCGGCTTGGCAGACGCCGCCGCTCTGTTCTCACCACACGTCACGTTGTATTTACTGATCGCTCCAAAGTCATTTATCAGCGTGGAGGCGACGGTCTGAGCAGGGCTCCTCTGGCCATGTTATTTGAATGACTTCCAGCCCTTTCTTTGTCTTTCTTTTTCACTTTCCACAGATTCTTTTGGATGCCAGCACTATCCAGCTGGGCAATCTTCCTCTGGGCACTTTCTCCAAATCCTCCAGCCGAGCCTCCCACGAACAGTCTGTGTACGAGGTGTGCGTTTGCCCCAGTGGGAAGGTCTACCTGTCCCCGGCCCACAGTAGCTCCACCTGCCAGGCCATGAACAACATCTGCCTCTGGAGCTGACTCGGAGGCTGCTGCCAAAAACGCAAAGACTTCTGGTGCTTTCACGGGTCAAACGTTGGAGACGAGACACAATTTATTCTTCAAACTAATGGAGCTCAACTGTCTCAGGCCCCGGTCGTGCTGTGCCGTTGAAGAGAGAGTGCGTATACAGTACATGTACAGGGCAATGGGGAGAACAGTCTGAGAATCTTTAACTACTGTCAAAACTCACTACTTATTTGATTAATATTGACACTGAAATAAAAATCACATAAGTAGGAGATTATGTGAGCTTCTCTGAGCCGTGTTGGACCAAGTCATATCTTGTGGTGCTTAAGGTTGCATTAATGTGACATCACAACATTCCAAAAGTTTAGCCTTGTGAAGGAAGGAAGCTGAAAGGTCTCGGTAACTATGGGAACTGTCAAAAGTTATATTTCTAGTCTTAGTTTTGAGCTCATTTCTGTGTTATTCCGGGGCCAATCCACATAAAAGAATGTGATAGTTTTTCGACATCTTCTTTGTCAGAACATATCAACAATGGTCTAATTATTTTCTCAGATAAAGGTGTCCAGAAGTTTTGACAATACTCAGAAACTAGTGGCAGGAGAAAGGACTTTCAGAATCATAGGGCGGGTTTGTGAATCTATCCAAAAATGTGGACGTCTCCTTCGTCAGAACAGAATCAGTTATCTCTACATTTATTTTCATCAATACGTCCAGATCATAGAGAGAAGGGGTGACCATACGCCATCAAAAATGTAGCTCAAAACAATCAGTAAGTAGTAAAAGCTCATAGACTTTATGAAATCGGCTATAATTATAACTTTGTGCACTTTGCCAAATGTACGGATCAATAACAACTTGATGCCAGCTCCGTAGCTGCAAAAAAATACAAAATAAGCCCATGCTAAAGGTTTGCTAATGGAACAAGTATAAATGTCTTGTTTTACCAAAAATAAAAACATGGCAAGTGATTTCTCAGTTGGAACGAGGGGAGAAAATGCTAATGTGCTTGATCAGAGCCTAAAGCAGCTTGTTCTATTTACTAATCTTATTTTAATACAGTCAAAATATCCACAAATGAGGATTTCTTTTGCATATTTCCAGTATTCGGGGGTTCTTAAAGGTCCTGAGTGTGGAAATCAGAACACTCAATAAAACCCCTGTAGGATAGAGACAGGAGAGACCAGGAGCCAGAGCAAATCCTTGCAAAACTTCATCCATGAGCACTTCCCTAAAGCGCTTTAGTGAGCTAGCGGGTTAGCATTGTTCATCTATAGACAGTCAATGGATTTGACCAGTAGGAATAAGAAGCTGATTGGATGAATGAGGCAGTGTCTGTAGATGTGAGACTACATTTCAATACATTTTTACTTTACTGATATTTTATTAGAATTATTTTTAAAGTAGCAATATGTAAGATTTTCATGTCAATTCATTATCAAAGGGCCCAAATATCTCAAAAGGCATCAATAAAACATGCTCTTTTCCAATACTTCTTCAACTGATAACAGTAGTTCAGAGATATTTGGACAAAATTACTTTTCCAGCCTCTAAATCTTGTTATTGTTTTCATTTTGATGTCCCGCCCTCCACCGTTTCACCAATCAGAAAGTCTGTGATCCGGGCGCCAGAACTCACCGCGTGAAGCTAATCTCACTGGTAAAGTACCATGTGGAGCAGAACTAAAAAAGGTCTCGTTATGATTCTAAACCAGGATTTCTATCTGGGTCTTTGTGAAAAAGGTGTTGGTTAAAGGTTTGTTTTTGATTCTTGTCTATTCAGCTGTTATGGTCCCAGCTGGATTCGTCTGCATATCTGGCAACCTGAGTCAGGGAGAGTGGGAGAGGCTGCAGTACCACTTTTGGCCACATGTTTACACACTGCTCCTTTAAACAACAAAGCCAGAGCCAAAAGTCAAGTTATAATTACAAAAAAACAACAGTCAGACCTGTACAGAGTGAAAGTATCCACGAGAAACCATCCTGAGTAGAAGGGGAATAGAAATACTAAAATAAAAACAAAAATATCAACATTACATTACAATCATTTCTACCGGCCCCCATCGTGTTGTCAAACTCTGAAATGTTCCCGACGCTTTCCCCACAGTCTGGTGAAAGGAACGGGACAGTTGAGCTCCATCACAGACACGCTCAAAGCCTCAGGAGAGAAATCGGCCGCGAGCTCTCATCAGGAATATCAAAAACATCAAGAATGGATCACACCTTATTTTTCTACTGGAGAAAAGACCATTTTTAAAGAATTTCAACACTGGTGCCTTTGGAGTATTCAACGACAAAACTAAAACATTGTGATCCCACTGAGATTCCGGTGACACACAAAAGCACAAAGTATTTTCTTAATATTTGATTCCCTTGATAAAAAACAGAGTCCAGAGTTGTTGTAAATGATTTGAAACGGTCTGTTACATGTAGAGAAAAAACAGACTGAGCTTCTCTCTGAACCTAATGCTGTTGTGATACTTGTATTTTAGATTTCATTTCAGATTAAACAGATAATATTAGAATTTTCATAGGTTAAAATGAAACGTTTTCACTGTTCCGTTTGCCGACATCACACAATATGGATTTGACTCTAACTAATCTAATTCAACACACACTCGATATTTGACTGGAATAAATATGACACACGTTTATTAAATTAGAATCTGTGACTTTCCAGAAAAGGACTGTTCTGAACTGAGCTTCCATTGTTTGGTTTCTTTCTGAGTCGTCTGCAAAAAGTGATGGAAAATAAGTCAGAAATTGCTCAAATTTGACAAAATGTTTCTTAATTTGAGCACATTGTGACTGCCTTAAAACAAGATTTGCCGATGGGACAAAGTAAGTTTTTATACAGCGCCTTTCACAGACCAAGGCCACAAAGCGCTTCACAGTTTAAACAGACAAATTACAATTTAAAATGTGCGTACAAAAAATAAAAATATAATGGCCAAGAGAACTCAGTGACAGGTTTAAAACAGCCGCAAGAAAATTATGTAAAAGCTGCACAAATAAATAAGTTTTTAGCTGAACTTTGAATGAATCAACAGATTCCTTCAGCCGCAGAGAGAGCGAAGATTGTTCCAGAGCTTAGGGGCCTGGAAGGACCGGTCTCCCCTGGTCCCGGGAGGACCAGTCTCCCCTGGTCCGAAAGCTCATGCGTGGGACCATCACCAGGTTCTGATCCACAGACCTCAGGGCCCAGGTGGGGCCTAAGGCTGGATCAGATCGCTGATATAAGGGGGAGCCTGACCATGCAGAGCTCTGAAGGTCAGCACCAGTATTTAGATGTATCCTGTAGGACACAGCTGCAGCAGTGAGAGCTCTGAACGTCAGCACCAGTATTTAGATGTATCCTGTAGGACACAGCTGCAGCAGTGAGAGCTTTGAGGACCGGGGTGATGTGCTCCTCCTGTTTGTGCGTGAGAACCCGAGCTGCAGAGTTCTGCACTAACTGCAGACGCGACAGCTCCTTCTTTTTCAGACATGAAAACAAACTGTTACAATAATCTAAACCAGAAACACAATAATCTAAACCAGAAACACAATAATCTAAACCAGAAACACAATAATCTAAACCAGAAACACAATAATCTAAACCAGAAACACAATAATCTAAACCAGAAACACAATAATCTAAACCAGAAACACAATAATCTAAACCAGAAACACAAAGACATGAAAGTGTTTTTAAAAGACACAGAAATGTCTCCCTTGGAAAATACAGAAGAAGGTCCTTTATTCGTCCCACAACGGGGGAATTTAAGTTAGATGCATACACATATATATATATATATACATATACACACACATATATATATATATATATACACACACATATATATATATATATACATATACACACACATATATAAATATATATACACACCCATATATAAATATATATACACACACATATATAAATACATATACACACATATATATATATATATATATACACACACACATATATATATATATATATACATATACACACACATATATAAATATATATACACACACATATATATATATACATATACACACACATATATAAATATATATACACACACATATATGTATATATATATACATATACATACGTATACATATATATATACATATATACATATACATACACACACACACACTTATGTGTGTGTGTGTGTGTGTGTATGTATACATCCGCTCCTTTTAGGCTAAATGTCTTTGTCCCATTGGGAAATCTGTTTTTAAGAGTCAGAATGTGCTCAAACTAATATTAAAAAACACTTTATTCAAGCAATTATTATTATTACTCTTATTTTATCATTTTTTGCAGTGCAGTGTGATGTGGTTTTATTTTACTGCTCCGTCTCTACAGAACAAAGGGGGATCTTTGCCTGGATCTGAAAAGCACCTTTAACCAAATTAAAGCTGGGGTACCTAAGTTTCAAGCCATAAGAATGTTTTGTAATTAGCACCACTCTCGGCTCCGTCTCTCTCCATCTCTGTCACATCTTGTTCCACTTTTTCAGACAGAAAAGTGTAAAATAGAGGACCACCTTCACTCAGCCCAAAGCCTCAAATACTGACTCACAGGGATTCTTCATAAAGCATGGAATAATGTTTTCTAAAAAATTTAAGTAAAAGTGAAACTGTTGTTGACTGGTTTGTTCACAACATTTGACTTTTTCTCTGACTCTTTCCGTTGAGACAAAGAGCTTGTATCATTTATGAAACTAAAATGTTAGGTACCGGAGCTTTAACTAGTTCTGACTTTAAAGCTTGATTTCTTATCCTTCAAAAACTGTTTTAAATGTTTGCAGAGCGAGCATTCTTTTTCTTCCATCATTTACACGGCCATTTCTTACAAGTTAAAGCCTTTTTTGGTCGGACTGGTTCACAAAATGCTATGTTTAATCATCTGTTGTTGTAAACCAGGGGTGTCAGACTTATTTTAGTTGAGGGCCGAATGAAAAAAGAAAGCCCAGGTCCAGGGCCGAAAAAATAAGTGGGTTTCATTTATTAAACTTTTCTAAATAAATGACTTGTTTCATATTAGTTGGACATTCTTTTCTGATTAGAATTAGTTTAGTTCCAGTGACTGAACCAAAACTGGACCAAATATTGAAGGTGTAGAGGAAGATTTTCTACTTCTGTGTGGATCATCAAGACTATTGGTCCTCCCAACTGTCAATCATTCTGGTGATTTGTGCTCGTCCAATCAGACCAGAGAGGTTTGTTCAAAAAGTGGAGAGGGCGGTTCTTTCCTGAGAAAATTGGGAAATCCTTCATATCTTTAAGTAGAAATTTAATTGAAGACTGGTAAAGAACATAACATTATAATACTAACTTCTAATTACATGTTAGTTTAATATTTCTCATGGAATTAAATGTTATGGTTGTTTTCTTAGTAATGAATAACATGCCATTGTCGCCTTTTTCCATTTATGCTGCTATTTAATATAATAATTTAAAATCATCTCAAGGGCCACTGGAAATGGTCTCGCGGGCCTTGACTTTGACTTTGTGTTGATGTAATCAATAACTGAAAAAGGGCGTAATCGAGGCGAGGAGACGAGGAAGCATCTCTGAGACTGTTTCTTCACAAACTGTTTCCCAGTTGATGCAAAACTGAAATTTACAACTGTTTTTATTCATCAGTAATGGTCAGAATGAGACTATCATGTCATACACTTTAGAATTGTCGATGTCATTGTGAATTGAATTGAAAATGAACCATTAATTGTAACAAATGAAGTTGTACATGTTTGGCCCCAGCGCTGCAGAAGTGAGTCCCAAGTGTGAGTCAGGGTGAAGGCCCCCACGTCCCGGTTGATGGTCACACTGGCTGCATATGGGTCGCTTAGCAGTACTAGCTTCTTTACACACTCTTTGTCTGAACAGAAGAACGTTCCAAGCATCAAACAAAAACGATACGATCCACTTTGAACATTAAAAAGTCAAATTTGGAGAATCGCAAGTTTACTTCTGTACGTTCATTTTTTGGAAGCTTTCTTATACAGCTGTGTTATGGACGGAATAGGCTGTTTGGTCATTTTGGGACAACGCATTATTCAATTCTATTCTGAGAGATGTAAGTGGTGGAAAATGAATGCTTTGTTTGTATTTGTAACTGAAATTAAACATGTTTTGTCTTTCGATGTGGGCGAGCTGGTTAGTTCAGTGCTATCTGGACAATGGACCAGAGGCTGATGGGAGCCCGACACGCACAGAACCAGAACATATCCAAGGTTATAATGCTTTCATTTGGAAGTCTGAAGGAGCACCCACACTTTCTCACTCTGCGGACCTAAATTAATATGTATCAACAGGCTGAGGGCCGAACCATTCCGTGTTTTCGTTTTCTGAAGGGAAAAGGAGAGTATGGACTCCCTTTCATCTCCGGTCCGGTCTCTCTGTGCAAAAATCATCAAATACTTTCTCAAAATCTCTGAACCCTGTTGCAGATCAAATTAGCTCCCTCGACAAATGTGGCACCCCGAGGTCAGGCGTCGCAAAGTGATTTCAGACATTATTATTGAATTCTGCCAAAACATGACTCCGACAAAAGGTTTGAGAACTCCTGGTCTTGTTGGGTAAATGACTCTAGAAAGTTTATATATTTATAATACTAGTTACAGGGACATAGTTTTAAACAATTTGTATTTACGATATTACCGTTTCTATATTGTTGGTTGGATTAGATGTAACTTAATCTCAGACGAAATTCTTGCACCAGAGAGTTATAAAACCACACAATATAAATTAGTTTGAACATCTAAAATTATATTAAAGATTGAACATATAGACATCGATGCGGACGACTAATAGTTTCTTTTGGTCCCGAAGTGAAGCTGTTTCAAACTGAACACAGACCTCGCAGTTTCAGGACAAAATAAAACTTAAGTGGAACTGTAAAGAGGACACATTTTCCCTCAAATACTTGCAAACGGTGAGATAAAAGAAAAAGTGCACTTATACATTAACTATGCAGGCAATAAACTGAAGTTAGTCAAGTTACCAATTTTCACTTGTTAAAAGGAAAATTGAAAAGTGACTCCCAACACTGGAGCAATTATGACCGAGACCTTTAAGACTCGTCAATGGAGCAGGTCATGTTAACTTTAGAGGAAATATTGGTCGACAGTGGAAGCTCAAAACATTGAAATGCGGCCAACACTTTCCTCTGAATAAGTCCATGAGTCTTTTCACAAATGTGCACGACCGAATCCCTGCTTTGACCAAGACCTTGAATAAATTCACTTCTAATTTTTATCCTCAAAAAGGTCCTTTCCCTGGCAGATTACAATTTACTTAAAAGAATTTCTCATATCAAATGGGCCCATTGGAATTTTGCAGAGCATTCACTCTTATCTTGCACTTGGTCAGATTCCAACATTCTCTAGAAAAATTCAAGCAACTGCCCAGATTGACTTTCCTTGACATACCCACTTTTCATTATTATAAAACTAATTCTAAAACATGGAGAGAATGAAGTCAATACGAAGCAGTGCAGCGTTTGTGTGTGCTGCCCCCTACTGGTTCAAGGCTGGAGGTTCTTTCATCTAAAACATCTATGGTCCAAGTACACATGGCTCAAATAATCATGAGCAGATGTGAAAATAACAAAAGCACAGTTATCCTTAACCAGTTTTATTTTGAAAAGAACATGCAGCTTTTTGGATAAAACAAAGTATTAAATGCATAAAAGAAAAGCATAAAATAAACATTCAGACTTTAACAAGGTAAAATAGGACAGCTTTAAAGTTAAGTGTGTTCATACAGAGACATGTGTTGAAATTCTGTGTCAATGTGAAAGGTTAGCGTGTTGTTTGGACTTGTGTTAGATTCTCACGATCGGGAAGACAGGAACGGGTCAAAATAAAAGGGTCAAACTTCCAACTTTCAAAAGACTCTTTTAAACACACAGCACAAAGTACAGAACCTGAAGGAATCACATTAGTTTATCATCTACAGAGAGCTGTAGAAACATAGGCCTGGTATGGTCATGTGGCAGACACCACACAATAAGTCTGATTGGTCAGTGCTTCTGTAGCAGCTGTGGCACAACGACACTGAGCGAAGCGCCTTAGAGGGAACGGAAAAGCGCTAAATAAAAACAACTTATTATCTTGTAAGAAACATTAAACCCAGGGTTTTAGGATCAAAAATGAGGCTATAAACATAATATCCTCAAAAGGACCGAACACCGTTTCTTTCAGTAACAAACCAGTTCTAACCCGTCGTGGGCGTTCACTGCCCTCAGGATAACACACTTACAGGACATTCAACTGCAGTAAAACAAGGCGACAGAAAAAAGCTGGAGCCAAAATTACAGAAAGAAGCATTCAAACCATTTAGATGGATTTTATAAGTGTTTAACTCCTAAGTCCCAAAAGCCGTGGCAAAAAAAAAACAAACAACAAAGTTAAAATAACATAATCAAAAGCACAAATCAATAGAAGGTAAAAGTGTATCAGCCTAAAAGGATCAAATACATTGATAATGTTTAAAGTAAAGAGTTGGTACATGCTCGTAAACTTCTACTAAGACCTGATGATCAATAGTATGGCTCTCTGTACTTGTAGTAATGGTGTCCGTTTCTCGCAGCGTTGTTATAATAGAATCTGAAATCACAAAACATTTGGTTTGTTCATGAACGCAGAAAACCAGTGAAGTCACGAACGGTCAAACTCACCCTAGATCCTCGCAGCACACGTCAGCAGATAATTGGGCTGCTCTGGATATGTTCATACCAGAGGGGAGCCGGTCCGGGTATCTGACCATAAGTTTAGCACCTTTTAATTCAAAACCCTTCACACAAAGAAGAAAAACACTGTTATGGAAAGGAAGTGGTCAGACGGTGAAGTTACTGATGCATATTCTCAGATGCAAACCTGGGAACAATCTGTTTCAATTCAGACAATCTCAATTAAAACCCGGAGCACAAGACTTTCTGTGAATGCAAATCTGTGGAACGCTCTGCCCTTCTGTAGAGTCTCCTTTAAGACCCACTTTTATGCTCTGTCTTTCAGCACTGCATGAGTTTGAACGGTCTTCTGTCAAATCTAATACCCTTCAAAATAAAAGGCAGTCTTAGTGACTTTAAACATTTAAAGTTTTCAAAGTGGATTGAATTGAATCAAAAAGCTTTCAGAACGCAGAAGGCCATCACTTAAAACTACAGTACAACAAAAACAACGAAACACGAACATTTGTGAAACTATTCTTCAAAAGTTCAAGCAGTTTTCCCAAAAATCAATCCACTTCAAAAACTTTGACGACCCGAAGAGTATTTCATTTATATTTTACATTAAAGGGTCTCTGGGTGGGAGAAAATGACTGTCACGATCTTCAAAATGTAAATGTCTTTGTCAAATTACTGTTTTAGTCATTTCTTTCACTTGCTCCTCTACATTTTCCAGTCCAGGACTTCAACTTTTCACATTTAGAATTTAATCTAGACATGATTCCTCTTATACCAACTTTAAAGACTAAGATTATAAAACCCAGGGCTCCAGTGCGCCTTAATGGAACTTTACTTACATGATATCTCCGTATAGCCTCTTCGCAGTGTTGCCGTTGAGTGTAGTTAATAAAAGCACAGTGTTTAGCAGAAAGCTGTTTAATACTATGAACTCTCCCGACCCTGCAGACAGAACACCAGGACATGGGTTTATGACCCTTTGACACCATCAGCCGTAATCATCTCAATACTTTACTTACTTGTTGAAAAGGTTTCCTAATAAGGGCTCGGTAACAGATATAGACAGGTTCCCCACCCACACTGGAAAGAGTTCACTGTCAAAGGAAAATAATTTATATATAACAGATTTAAACGTTACACACATCTCATTTCTCCTGCAAAAATACACTGACCAATCACAGAGCACTATTGATTAATCATAATGAACATAATCATTCATGTTCAAGGTTCTCTCTACAATACTCACTACACAGCTTTGCATCATGGGGGATCTGTGTGTGCAGGTTTTAGATATTTGGATAATTCATTCATGGTTCAAGTTTTGTACATTTCATTTTGGTCATTTAATCACATTTGTATCATGAAAATTCTCCCAAAATACTTATGTATAGTAACTCAATAATGTGTTTATACTTTAATGTTCATGCTGAAAGATCAAGGTTGTGTCGTCACAGAGCAGCCTCCTGTGGACTCCGGATCAGTGAGAGGCTGCTGCTCTGACTGCCACCCTCTCAACCCAGAAATGGATTAATGGGAAGAAGACGGATGGATGGAGATGGACGTTAGTGTTCAACCAAATCAGTTCTTTTCAAGTAGTCACGTAAAACTGTTCTTATGACCACTTTTATTGTGTGCTTGAAATGAACTAAACTATGGCTCACAGTTTATATGGCGCTTGTTCACAGACTGAAGAAAGTGAGTGCATGAGTTTGTTTTATTAAACTGGCCAGTAGGGGGCGCATGAGCAGAGATGGGACAGTGTTGCTCCCATTGAAACCCATGTAAAGTCTGTTTTGGAGTCAAAGGCTCTCCTCCTGTGCGGTGTACGGTTGTTGGAACAGTCTTAATCGGGGACACTCAATTCTAAGGAAGTTTCTCAAAAGAGTCTTGATTTTGGGCTTTTTTTGGAAAGAAAAACAGAAGAAATGTCTGTTTCATTGGGGTGGCCTGCAGGGGGCGTTTATCTGGAAAAGCTTTGATCCACCTCCGCCTCATTCCAGTGATGTTTCCAAGTGTCCTCCTTTATATGAGACCACAGTTGGAACATGAACAAACTCTTGTCTTTCTCTCTATTTGTTGCGGTTGCTACAAGCGTACACCGCACAAAAAGATGGCTTCTTCTTATATACTATATCTCTGTGTATAAACTGCTTCTTCTTCTCTTCCCTCTGTGCGTTGAAGCAAACTGGATCATTCACCAAAGTTTACCGACCTTCGCCGTTTGGGTTGTAGCGCCTCAACAGACGGGACAAGATTACACACATTTACAGGTTTCATCGGGTGAGTTTATAAATCTGAAAATTGTCAATTGACCAAGTTCAACAATTAATAAAAATCCAATTAGATCTTGCACACGCGAGGTTGGGTGAACGCAGAAAAAGATATCCATTCAGACACACATGTCGATGATTCAGATCAAGCACCGGCCTCAGATCTGCGTTTCTTAAAACCATCACATACAATACAATACAATACAATTTATTCTTGTATAGCCCTAGGTCACAACAGTATCATCTCAGAGACTTAACAAAACCATTGAAATCACCAACACAGGTCAGAGAATCAACAGTTAAAACACATGAAGAATATAAAGCACACACAGAAGAAAATGTCCATACATGTTGTAGAATGCTAAAGTGTCCTGATCATCACCAATCCTTTCTGTTGGACACTAACTGTCCAACAAGACCCTCCTGCATCGACAAGGAAAAACTCTTAAAAAACCCAGTGGGAAAAAGTGAGAAACCTTGGAGGAGAACTAGGGAAACCCACAGGGAGGGAGATCCATATGAGAAAGGGATCCGCTCCTCCGGACGGACAGGCTAATGATCCAGGACCTAAGCTAGCTACAGGACGTGGACCAGTGGACGCTGAACGTGGACAGGTCCGGTGCAGGACTGAAGCACTCACATACCTTCTTTGATAAGATTTTATTTGAAAAGATTCTCAGAGCAAAGAAGGAGCATGACCCTGGACTTCCTTTAGTCAAAAACATATCAATTGTTAATTTTACGGCTGCAGGACTCGTCTCAACATGAACAGCCGCCTGATTTAACCTTTCCTCATTCAGTCCAAACCGTTCACGCCGCAACAACAAACTGGTTCTATGACACATGTAGTCGTTGCTATGGCGATTACTGCTTAAACGCAATTAGTTTTGGTCAAGGGAGTCAAAGTCAGAGCACCCATTTTCAGACTTCAAAAACAGATAATCCAGAAAATGAAAGACGTGCCTCTCCTCAATCTGTTTTTTTTGCAGCTCCAGACAGATTTGTTTTTATGTCAAATAGTGCTTTTTGAGCCTTGAAAAAAAAGGTTGCCGGCCCATGGTCTGGGTGAACAAAGAGAGTTTAAGTTGAGCAATTTTCCCATTTCTTTTGTCATTAATTATTATATAAAACTATATTCTACCTTCTATTTTGTCTCCTTGATTATAATGTTTATTTAATCACATCTCATTACTGAATTTCAATAAATGTCTCCGCCCGAGCAGAAACGACCGTGACTAATAAAAGAATCAAAAGGTGGGTTAAGAACAGTTCAGAACAGTTCAGATCTGCGTCTGATACTGGTGTGAATGAAGCCAAAGCTCTTGCAGATGTTTTTGAACTGACAGGACTTTTATGTTTTGTGTGTGATTTAATGTTGTGCTTAAATGTGTTACACTCACGGTGGTTGTCTGACTTGATTGGGAGCCACAGGGGCGTCTGCTTTGGCCTGGCTCTGCTGGGTCTGGACTGAGATCAGAGGTTTGGTCTCAGCGTGGCTCTTTGATGCGTCTGGAGCTGGAGGAGGAAGTGCAGCGGCGGTGGCGGTGGCGGAGGCGGCGGCGGCTTTGGCAGAGAGACCTGGAGACAATCCAGTGGCGTTGACCACCTGCTGCCGAAGGACAGGCGGAGACACTGGAACAACACCTCATCTTCAATACACGATTCTTACAGTTTACACACGACTGTTGGACATCGATTTAATTTCAGGAACTATAAAAACAAGGAAGTAACCGTGGACCCAGAGGAAGTAACCGTGGACCCAGAGGAAGTAACCGTGGACCCAGAGGAAGTAACCGTGGACCCAGAGGAAGTAACCGTGGACCCAGAGGAAGACGAGACAGTTGCAGAAGTTAAAATAGTTTTGCTTCTCAGATCACAAACGTCTCAGTGTTTGTGCCTGTAGCTGGTTAACAGCCACTGAATCAAAGACACTTTCCAGAAGGGCTGAGTTTAGGAAATGTTTAGATTTTTAAAAATGTACAAATATCACTTTATAATACTGTGTATTTAACAGTTCACCTTGATGCCCAATGAAATACACCATTTGTGTATTTCTTAAATAAAATGTGTTAGACACTTATATTGCACATAATTGTATTTAAATGGCATCATCTGTGCAGGCTCTGGAAGAAACTCAGACTTTGCAGAAATCAGCTTCACACCGATGTCTTCACACGTTTTTATTTGTCATTAGATTTGATTTTCGTCGTCCTCCATCTCTAAAGTTTCAGGGCTCAACCGTTTTCATAAAATGTTTGTTCCTTAAAAAAGGGGTTTAGAATAGAGTTATTTCAGTTCTTTTAACTCTAAACTAAATTACTGTCAATGGCATTTTTACGAGTTTCATATTTCTGCATTTGATGAGACTTTGACAATGAAGAATTTAAGGCTTTGAATTCATGATTGTGTTCATTCCCAAGATTTGGTGTTCATATCTGGGCAGGGAACTACAAAACGTCCAAGAAAAAAAGTCCAAGATTCCCGCAATAATACCTTTGTTCAAGTTTGAAAGTCCTTCTTGAGCCTTCTCCACACTCCCATAAATAACTAAAGCCTTTGAACTCTGGTCTCGAGTAAAGCCACACTCCTAAAAACAGAAATAAAAAACAGAATATCAATAAATATCAATAATAAAAAAGCAAAACCAAAGCTCAGAGTGGGTCCTGACCATCAGCTGTAACGTCTGGACGTCCAGCAGTTCTTGAGCTGCTTCTTTGCGAGAGACGTCCTGTTCAAGGATCTCTTTAAACGCAGCCGCCGCCTCCTCGAACCTCTGAGTGTCAGGGAAAACTACACATTATTTAAAAACAATAATTGACAGGTGTTGTTAGAGTAATTAGACCGCATGAGTTTGTTTGCTACAACTTTATCTTAAAGTCTTTTGAGTTATGTCGATGGTGCCTAAACTTCATACAAACATTAATAAAAAGGTACATTTTAAAGCAGACATAAATATGAAAGAGTTCAATTATTTTCAACCGCATAAGCAGTCGAAAATCTTAATTTTGACTCAAAACTTAGCCAATATAAAGTTAATGAGATGTGTAGACTCATTTAGCTATTGTAGTAAAGTAGTAAGTAAGCTTTATTTATACAGCGCCTTTCACAGACCAAGGCCACAAAGCGCTTCACAGTTTAAACAGGTAAAAACAGACAAAATACAATTTAAAATATACATACAGTAAATATAATGGCCAAGACAACTCAGTGACAGATTTAAAACAGCCGCAAGAAAATTATGTAAAAGCTTGCCCAAATAAATAGGTTTTTAGCTGAACTTTGAATGAATCAACCGACTCCATCAGCCGCAGAGAGAGCGGAAGATTGTTCCAGAGCTTAGGGGCCTGGAAGGACCGGTCTCCCCTGGTCCTGGAAGGACCGGTCTCCCCGGTAGTTGCTGTAGTATTACAGCAACTAAATAAGTGTGTGCTCTTAAATGTGTGCATAAAAGTGCGACGCCGATTCAGAAATGTGTGCATTACCAAATAACAGAATTGTCAAAGCGCAGTCCCAAAGTCGGAAATGGAAATAATGTTAAAAAGTTGAAGGGTCTTGTACCTTGAGCCCTGCCAGAGCTCGGCCTTTCCTGAAGTGACCTTTGACCCAGCCTGGACTCATGCTCAGAGACAGCTCGGCGTCACTGAGGGACTTCTCAAACTCCTGCATCTTTTCAAAACAAAACGCACGATTCCCAAATAACCTGCAAAAGACACGAGTTTAGGAGCTCAAACCAAAGCAAAGAACAGATTCACCTCTACTCACTTAAACTCTGTGGGGTTGTATTTAATAGCTTCTGTGAAATACTGAGCAGCCATTTTGAAATCTCCAGCACCAGCTAGCTTATTCCCAATCACTGAAATAGACACAATTATTACAAATGTACCAAATTTACACCATTTGGAAGATGAGAGAAATGACTTACTTGCATAATTAGCGCTCAATTTTACAAAGTCCTCCATTTTAGAGCTGGATTGAGCAGTATCCTGTGAAAAAGTAAAAGCTAATTGTGAAGCTACAAAGAACATCGTGCTTTTCTCTGTAAATAGCGAAAGTTTAGGGCTTTCTGTTGTTCCTGGGTCCTGCCGTTTTCATGTATCTGACCAAAACGACAGTATTTCTGATCCAAAAGTGGTCATTTTCTAAATACATACAACTCAGTTTTTGTGATAAACTGCAGAACTCACATCATCTGTTTTTTCAACTTTCTTTTCAGGTGTTTTTTGGTCTTCTTTAACCGGAGACTTCTTTTTGTTTTCTTGCTTCTGCTCCAACTTACGCTTCGCAATCTCCGCAGCTTTAGTAACAAATGAGCTTTTCAAATCCAAACCCTGAAAAAACAGATTCTCCGTGTTTTTATACAGTTGCAATCCTTCTGAAGTGCTTCAAAGTGAAACATACGTCACCTCTTCATCGTTGGACACATCTGAGGAACAATCACTGCTTTCAGAGTTTAAAGCTGAAGCCATTTCTTTAAAGTTATACACATCTTTATCGCCGTTATTAGTCTGATGAAGGGGAACAAAACATGAGTCATTCTGGGGCTTAAGCGTTTAACTGTATAAATAAATATTACCTCAGAGTCGGTCTTATTTAGTTCCTTCTCGAGCCGCTTTCGATCTTTTTGTCGCTGCAGAACAACATTAAAACTGTTAAATACACTTCAAATTCAAGTGTATTTACATTCTTGATGAAAGAATTCTTTATAAATAAACTACGAACACCATAAATCAGAATGTTGTCTTATTCTGCACTAGTTCACCATTTTGCTACGTTTTTATGCCATCATAAAAAGTACATTGTTTTCAACAGTGTGTAGGACTCAAGGACTTTACCCACTTTATCATATGATTATGGTTTATCTCAAGATCAAAGCAAACTTGTCTCTTGCCACGATGGCACATGTTACAAGGAACTGCAGTGTAATTCTACGGTTAAAAAAATGGTCTAAACGCTTTTAGAAATAGATCCTGGATCACATCAGTCATTATACAGTACCTACCTGCTAATGGCTAGTTTATGCTCCCTCCAGCCAATAAAACCATAAAACCAATAAAACCATAAAACCATAAAACCATAAAACCAAGCGTCACCGACTCGTGGGAAACAGTGGAGCTGCAGCACTGGTTGAACTGACATTAAAAAGCTCCAAATACTTACTTTTTTCTTCAGACGTTTCTTTTCAGCTTTTTCTTTAGCTTTCTTTTCATCTAAGAGTAATCTAGCTTTCCGCTGAGCATCCTGATTCATAATAAGAAGTTAGAAAAAGAAGTTAGCCAACAGTCAACAAGAGCAAAACATAAGGAATAAAAGAGAAAACACATACACTTTCTTTGTCCCAGTCTATGTCATCATCACTGGACTCCGAAGACTCACTTAAACCATGCTCTCGTTTCAAAGCCGCCCATTTCTCATTTCCAAATATATCTAAATATTGTATCAGATTATCAGGAGATATTTGGGCTGAAGGAAAGAGAAAAAGTTAGCACCAGATTAAACAAGGCAGAGTTTACTTTAGTCCGTATCAGACTAAACCACACTTACCCCTAAGACCATATTCCATTATACTTTCCATGGTAGGTCGTGGTCTTTCGAGCAAATGCTGAAGTAAAACAATAACACACATTACAGACAAATCACAAAACATCTCGTAGCTTCAAACAGGGTTAGCTTAGTTCATCGGGAAACAGATTTAACACTAGCTTTTAAATAATATAAACTAGTCAAAGCAACAGTGTATCCCTTTGAACTTATTATGTGACCATTTTAAAATAACTTTAAAAACACATGTATAACATTGCTTGTGGTAGATTAGCATCCGTTAGCATGCGGCTAACGCAGGCCCGATGAACACGTGACCCACAGATGTTAGCTTAAAGCACGGAGAAAACCAGGCTAACATAAACACTTACCAATAACTGCATTCTAAAATGAGCTGAAACAGAAAAAGAACGTATTGAGAATCTGACAGAAGAAAAAGCAGTGTATATAAAAGTAAACATGTTTCATACCGTCCCAGAAGCTCATTGTGATGTTTGTGATATGATTTAAACTCGGTCTTATTCTACGGTCTACTGCAACGGCCCCTGCTCCACAGCGCCACCTCCACAGCGCCACCTCCTGGTCATGTCGTAGATGGCACCATGGATCTAGGACGTGGGCTCGTTGGGAAGAGGAGAGGCTTTGATTGTAAATACAGACTACTGCAGGGTTAGACATGGAGCTTTTGATTATTGGCCTGCGTCCATACTATCTGCCAAGGGACTGTAAGGCAAGGCAAGGCAAGGCAAGTTTATTTATATAGCACAATTCATACACAAGGCAATTCAAAGTGCTGAACAAAACAAGAAAGCATTAAAATCATAAATAATCACAGAACATTAAAAAGAAAGATACAAATATAAAATCCCTCAGTTGTATGCACAGTTAAACAGAACTGTCTTTAACCTGGTTTTAAACATTGTCAGAGAGGAGGCCTGTCTCACATCTTCAGGAAGACTGTTCCAGATTTTAGCAGCATGAATCTGAAAAGCAGCCCCCCCATGTTTAGTTCTGACTCTGGGCACTAACAGGAGTCCAGAGTCCCTGTGCTCCTCAGAGTCCCAGCAGGAGTCCAGTCCCTGTGCTCCTCAGAGTCTCCGCAGCAGGAGTCCAGTCCCTGTGCTCCTCAGAGTCCCAGCAGGAGGCCAGTCCCTGTGCTCCTCAGAGTCCCAGCAGGAGTCCAGTCCCTGTGCTCCTCAGAGTCCCAGCAGGAGGCCAGTCCCTGTGCTCCTCAGAGTCCCAGCAGGAGTCCAGTCCCTGTGCTCCTCAGAGTCCCAGCAGGAGTCCAGTCCCTGTGCTCCTCAGAGTCCCAGCAGGAGGCCAGTCCCTGTGCTCCTCAGAGTCCCAGCAGGAGCCAGTTCAGTCCCTGTGCTCCTCAGAGTCCCAGCAGGAGGCCAGTCCCTGTGCTCCTCAGAGTCCGGGCTGGTTCGTATGGTACTGTAACAGCTGTCTATATATTCCCCCTTCGGCCAAAGCTCACAATGCATGAGTATGTTTAGAGCCCCTTTTCCACCATGAGCAGTCTTCAATCACAGCGCCCCCATGAGGCCCTGTTAATCATTACAGGGGATTTCAATCACAGGTCTCCAGCCTCTACTCTCCCATCTTCACAAAATACATCCCCTGTCCCACACTAAGACACTAGACTGGACTTTTTCTTTGCTAACGTGAAGGTTGCGTGCACCACAACATTGTCCATACGGCCCATTTATGACCCGGGTGTGCGAGGGCATCCTGCTGTATCCGTGTGGTGAAGAGGCCCTCAGAGACCGCTGTGGAACGAGCTCTGTGATCCACGTTTATACATATTCAGCACAAAAAGGTCAAATTATTATACTTAATTTAGTATTAAAAGGGTAATAAATACATATACATATATATGAAATACTATAGTAGCTTAGAGATTTCATGACACTTTGAAGCAACTGTGGTTAAAGTTATAACTCATCATTCTAACATATGCAGAAGCCAGTACTTTTCCACAGCGTGTTTTGATTTCTGAAGGCCAAGCTAAATGGCATCGCGGCGAAAGCTGATTGGACGGTGTTCATTCCTCTGCTGTATATTATCAACGACAATAAAACATGTCTTCTGTCTGGATTAAGACACGATCCCAGACTTTGTCCATCTTCCTCAGTGTGCTTATGATGCATCCTACTTACTGTATATTGTTATACATTTAGAATGATTAGCGGCAAACAAGTGTCTTTGTGTGATGTATTAAAGTACTAAAATACATACATGATAATTGTATACAAGTAAATCTAAACTGTGGAGAAGCGCTCAGTCAAATGTCGGAGGAGGCCCGCAAAACTCTTCCACTAAATGGGAGAGGAAGGAATGACAAACAAACAAACCTGCTTTATTATCAGGGAAATGGCGTCTGGATCATAGACTGTATATATTAAGTCTGGATGAACACAAAGACTCTGTGTTGAGTATTATTTCCCATTATTGATCAAGTAATTTTTCATTAGGCGTCTACTGTTGGAGCGTTATCAGATTGTTGTAATAAAAGTGTGGTTCTGATTCATGCATCGGTGCCGCAGCATCTTCAGTCAAACAAGAATCTTTAGGCCACCTTCTTTTAAACCTGCTTAAAACTAGTGATTTCAAGCTTGTAAATATATCAGATTCAGATTCCGTTTATTTGCCATTTGCAGTAAAAAAAAAAACACATTGGAATACAAAAGTCTCCAGTATAGTTTATTATATATGATAACATTGGGTAACAAAAAAATATGTTTTGAAAATAGTCCAGGGTTTTCAGCTGAATTAGACTAATGTTGATGCTCTGAGTCTGAAAATAACCTTGGTTAGGATCAGGTCAGGATATTTTGCTACAGAAATATTTTTTTAATCGATTTTGCGTAAAAAACAAATGTCTGCGGATCATCAGTTTAGAAACCTTTGACGTTTTTTCCGTTTTCCTCAAGAAATAAAAGTCAACGTATCCAAAGTCATTCAGTTTTTATTTACTCCATCAAATTTGATAAACAGAATTCATAATAACGTAGACGTACATAATCCGTAACACTGTGGCTGTATCTCACACAGTTCACCTGATAGAGCAGAATGCATGAGATATTCGGACTCAGAACACCAACATTAGTCTGAATCAGTTCAGAAACCCATGACCATTTTTTGGCTGTAGTAGTAGTAGTAGTATTAGTAGTAGTTTATTCGGTCATTTCATTCCTTTAAACATAAAACATAAAACAAGCAACATCATAATTTATGCACAAACGACCGAAAGGGTTTAGGCTGAAGTAAAAACTTATTGTGCCTAACCCAATTTACAAACTTCCACGAGAAACAAACACAAACATTTATTGTAAACAATATCAAGTGTCAAAGAGAAGAGAAATAAGCATGTACTTAGAATACATATATGTAAATATACGTTTGTTTTACATTAATTTATTTTAACTAAATCATGTCATTTAAATTCATTCATTATGGATCTATTAAAGTCTAGTTTCTTACTTTATTCATCCTTAACTTGTATATTTTAGGATGATAGTAGATTTATACAACTTTTTGAAAGCTTTGACTGTTTTAGACTGTTTTAAATGATCTTCTAAATCGTTCCACAGATTAACACCTCTTACAGAAATACATCGACTTTTTTTATTCTTTTTAGCTTTTGCTTTTTTGAAAATGGCAGTTCCTCTGAGGTATACGGACTTTCCCTGTGTTCAAAAAGCTTCTGGACTTCAACTTGTGTAATAAACTGAGAGAATAACATCCACATTATCTACATACAGGCAAGGCAAGGCAAGTTTATTTATATAGCACAATTCATACACAAGGCAATTCAAAGTGCTGAACAAAACAAGAAAGCATTAAAATCATAAATTATCACAGAACATTAAAAAGAAAGATACAAATATAAAATCCCTCAGTTGTAGCACAGCTAAACAGAACTGTCTTTAACCTGGTTTTAAACATTGTCAGAGAGGAGGCCTGTCTCACATCTTCAGGAAGACTGTTCCAGATTTTAGCAGCATTAATCTGAAAAGCAGCCTCCCCATGTTTAGTTCTGACTCTGGGCACTAACAGTGGGGCAGCATCAACATGTTTTTAAATGAGACAAAAGAATATCAATAACAATATTTGCGAACTGTGATAAACACGTTTATTTTGCGCATATACAAGAAATAGTAATAAAAAAGGCAGTAAAAGTTATGCTATTACAATACAAGGTAGTAACAAATACAGCATAAAACACATTTTAAAAAGAGACAGAGATATAGGAAAAATATTTCAGGCTCGATCGTTTCCCAAAGGTCTTTCTGCAGGAGATGCTTTACCCTTTTCCGTGCAGCACAGTCCTATGTCACACACAAATAAGTCAGCCAATAGAACACAAGCAAAACATATGGAATAAAAGAGCAATACACTTACACTTTTTGTCTGAGTTTACAAAATCCTCCTCACGGCCATGGATGTGGTCGACACTTAAACCATGCTTTTCTTTCAAAAACAACCATTTCTCATTTCCAAATCTATCTAAATAATATATCAGCACATCGTCAGACATTCCGGCTGAAGGATAAAGAAAAAGTTAGCTCCAGACTCACACCACAGAGTTTACTTTGGTCTGTATACAATGAAAAACACTTACCCAAACGACCCTGTTCCTTAACCTCCTCCAGGGTCGGCTGTGGACCGTCGAACAAACGCTGAAGGGATTATAATTATTATTATTATTAAAGACAATTCACAAAACAACTTGTAGCTTCAAATTATTATGAATCAAAACAATAGCACCTTTAACTTATATATTACCGTTTTAAGATCACTTTTACTTTTTCTAGATTTGCATTTAGTGGGGCCCCCTGAACACAGCATTCCATTAGGAGGCCCTCCATGCGCGGGTAAACTTAGGATACAAAGAAAACAAAAGCAATATTAACACTTACCAACAATTGCATTCGAGCAAAAGCTAGAAAAGAAATCAAATGTAGTGAGAATTTGACCAATGACAACAGAAAACATGTTTTAAAAAGGTTTCATACCGTCTTGGAGGGAGCTCATTGTTGCTCTGATGTAGTGGCTTCTGCAATGGGGACTGCTCCTCATCGCCCCCTGCTGGTCACGTGTGCGATGTGTTGAGAATGTTCTTTCTAAACGTGACAAGAGGTCCCCAAAGGATTTTCTCTAGTCTAGTATTTCAGTGTAGGTACTGTGCTGAAGCATGGACGGTAAATAACGCTGAAGTCATTTGTTTCTGGTGTCATGTCAAGTTTCTTTGTTCTTTGTCCACCCTAAAGTGCATGTTCTTTGTTTTTAAGATATGTCATGCCTTGTCAACACGAAACGCCATGATAAAAGACCTCATGATACCCAAAATTATTGAATGCATACCACGGAATACCACAAATTATAAACTGTATTCTGAAAACACCAACTCAAAACATTTTAAATATGCTAAGTTGGTAGGGCGTTGGCTTTTGAGCCAGAGGGTTGTGGGTTCGAGTCCGACTTTCTCCATTGACTCCCACTGATGTCGTCATGTCCTTGGGCAAGACACTTAACCTCTGGGAACACCAGCCACAGTGGGGCGGCTGTGGCTGTAAAGTGCCAAACTGCCGTTGTGTCCTTAGGCAAGACACTTCACCCCCATTAGAATGAGTCTGGTGTGTGTGTGAGTGGTTGGTGGTGGTGGGAGGGGCCGATGGCACAGACTGGTTGCCTCGCTTCTGTCAGTGTGCCCCAGGGCAGCTGTATATGTGTATATGTGTTTATATACATATATTATATACACACACACACACACAGTAAACAACTGAAAACAGAACAATGGCTCTAATCCAGTTCAATTATTCCTGATCTCAAACTACTTTCAGATCAAGATTGTGGCTCTTTGGCCTAAACAATATCAGACATTTGTTTAGTACTAAAATGTCAAATCACTTTCTGTTGACAACTGCACAATTTATTTACTCAATATATGACACTAAACTGAGAGAATAAAATGCACATTATCTACACACAGTGGGGTTAGGACGGGCAGCACCAAAAAATGCATATCAATAACATCATTTACAGTATTTTAACAAGTTTATTTTGCATTCTACAACATAGTTAGCAGGGAGAATCAAATACAGAATAAGTTGAAGGAAATGGCTCAGGCGCCCAACACCTTCTCCACCGACCCCCACTGATGACTGCTGTTGTTGAGTCCTTGGGCAAGACACCAAACCCCTGACCCAGAGATGGATTAAAGGGAAGAAGATGGATGGATGGCTCAGGCGGGTCGATCCGAAGCAGAAAGGCCTGGATCATTTCCTGATGGTTCATTTGAAATGATGGAGGTGAGTGTTTGTGAAGCTGCAGCAGAGCTTTTCTTCTGTTTGACCTGAAGTCCGTGTTTGTTCAAGAGTCGAGTGATGGTGGAGCAGTGAACCTCCACTCCAGCCTCTGCCAGACCGGCCTGGATGGATCTCAGAGTCACGTAGGGGTTCTCACTGACTTTACTCACCATGTTATGAACAGTTGTGTCTGTTATTTTCCTGGGTCTCCCCGATCGTGCTTTCACCTCCACTGTTCCCGTCAACTTCCACTTCTTAACGATGTACTTAGCTGTGGAGACTGGGACTTGAAGACGCTTCGATATCTTCTTGCAGCCTTCTCCAGCTTTGTGAGCGTCAATTATTTTCAGTTTCAAGCTTTCGGACAAGTGCTTTTTGGAAACCTTGGTGGCGTCAGGCATTTTTGCTTCTTTTTTTATTGGAAACTTCTTTTTTCTTTTGTTTTTCTGCTTTGGTTCCATCTCACGCTGAGTGACCTCTGCAGCTTCACTCACAAACGAGCTTCTCGAATCCAGACCCTTGAACAGATTTTCTATATTACTTAATTTATAAATAGAAATAATTGAGACGTACATTTAAGTATCTGATCAAAGTACCTCTTCTTCATGGGATGTGTCTGACTTTTGGGAAGTGCCACCATCTGTCTATGAATGAAAAACAGAAGTCATTCACCAGATAACACTTTGTATTTTCCTTAGATTGAAGGAAAGTCTCTCCTCTCTTCACAATGAAGTGTGTTAAACTATCAACACACGCCTCTTAATGTCATGTATTTCAGTCTGTGCAGGATTATTCAGGCGTTACTAGCGTCCTACAGTTTGAGTCAAACAATAAGTTGGAAAGTATAAATGTAATTACAAACCTCTTCTTTTCTAAAAGCCTACAATTTTTGATGCACTTTCTAAAATCGCTTTTCTTAAGGTATGAAACCTACCGGTACATTTATCTATTTTGTTTCTCTATTGATAATTATGACTAATAACAATGACAGTATCCTGAATCCTAATATGCAACAATATAAAACAGAGCAGTGTGGGCCGTGTGTGGCTCAAGGGGATTATGTTGTTCTTTCGAGAAGCCGTTCCAAAGGTTCCCTAACCTTACTTACAACTCACATTTTATTTTACATTTAAACCAATATCCATGAATATAAATGTTTTTAAATTCTAAACAAGTATGCATATATTTTATCTTGTTCTGATGTGATACAGCTAACAGAGCTCTCAGACGATTTGAAGTGGACGCACATCTCCCTCGTTCCATCTACAAGCACAAGAACATGGCCTCCGTGTACTGTACACGAGTTACACTACAGTTACACTACAGTTACACTACAGTTACACTACAGTTACACTGCAGTTACACTGCAGTTACACTACAGTTACACTACACTACAGTTACACTACAGTTACACTACAGTTACAGTTACACTACAGTTACACTACAGTTACACTACAGTTACACTACAGTTACACTACAGTTACACTACAGTTACACTACACTACAGTTACACAGTTACACTACAGTTACACTACAGTTACACTACAGTTACACTACAGTTACACTACAGTTACACTACAGTTACACTGCAGTTACACTGCAGTTACACTGCAGTTACACTACAGTTACACTACAGTTACACTACAGTTACACTACAGTTACACTGCAGTTACACTACAGTTACACTACAGTTACACTACAGTTACACTACAGTTACACTGCAGTTACACTACAGTTACACTACAGTTACACTACAGTTACACTACAGTTACACTACAGTTACACTACAGTTACACACTACAGTTACACTAGTTACATACAGTTACACTACAGTTACACTACAGTTACACTACAGTTCACTACAGTTACACTACAGTTACACTACAGTTACACTACAGTTACACTACTTACATCATTACACTACAGTTACACTACAGTTACACTACAGTTACACTACAGTTACACTACAGTTACAGTTACACTACAGTTACACTACAGTTACACTACAGTTACACTCAGTTACAGTTACACTACAGTTACACTACAGTTACACTACAGTTACACTCAGTTACACTACAGTTACATACAGTTACACTACAGTTACACTACAGTTACACTACAGTTACACTACAGTTACACTACAGTTACACTACAGTTACACTACATACAGTTACACTACAGTTACACTACAGTTTACACTACAGTTTACACTGCAGTTACACTGCAGTTACACTAGTTACATTACAGTTACATTACAGTTACACTACAGTTACACTACAGTTACACTACAGTTACACTACAGTTACACTGCAGTTACACTACAGTTACACTACAGTTACACTACAGTTACACTACAGTTACACTACACTGCAGTTACACTACAGTTACACTGCAGTTACACTGCAGTTACACTACAGTTACACTACAGTTACACTGAAGTTACACTGAAGTTACACTACAGTTACACTACAGTTACACTACAGTTACATTACAGTTACACTACAGTTACACTACAGTTACACTACAGTTACACACTACAGTTACACTACACTACAGTTACACTACAGTTACACTACAGTTACACTACAGTTACACTACAGTTACACAGTACAGTTACACTACAGTTACACTACAGTTACACTACAGTTACACTACAGTTACACTACAGTTACACTACAGTTACAGTTACAGTACATTACAGTTACACTACAGTTACACTACAGTTACACTACAGTTACACTACAGTTACACTACAGTTACACTACAGTTACACTACAGTTACACTACAGTTACACTACAGTTACACTACAGTTACACTACAGTTACACTACAGTTACACTACAGTTACACTACAGTTACACTACAGTTACACAGTACACTACAGTTACACTACAGTTACACTACAGTTACACTACAGTTACACTACAGTTACACTACAGTTACACTACAGTTACATACAGTTACACTACACTACAGTTACACTACAGTTACACTACAGTTACACTACAGTTACACTACAGTTACACAGTTACACTACAGTTACACTACAGTTACTACAGTTACAGTTACACTACTACACAGTTACACTACAGTTACACTACAGTTACACTACAGTTACACTACAGTTACACTACAGTTACACTACAGTTACACTACAGTTACACTACAGTTACACTACAGTTACACTACAGTTTACACTACAGTTACACTACAGTTACACTACAGTTACACTACAGTTACACTACAGTTACACTACACTACAGTTACACTACAGTTACACTACAGTTACACTACAGTTACACTACAGTTACATTACAGTTACACTACACTACAGTTACACTACAGTTACACTACAGTTACACTACAGTTACACTACAGTTACACTACAGTTACATTACAGTTACATTACAGTTACACTACACTACAGTTACACTACAGTTACATTACAGTTACATTACAGTTACACTACAGTTACATTACAGTTACACTACAGTTACATTACAGTTACACTACAGTTACATTACAGTTACACTACACTACAGTTACACTACAGTTACACTACAGTTACACTGCAGTTACACTACAGTTACACTACAGTTACACTACAGTTACACTACAGTTACACTACAGTTACACTACACTACAGTTACACTACAGTTACACTACAGTTACACTACAGTTACACTACAGTTACACTACACTACAGTTACACTACAGTTACACTACAGTTACACTACAGTTACATTACAGTTACACTGCAGTTACACTACAGTTACACTACAGTTACACTGCAGTTACACTGCAGTTCTACATCATGGTGCTAACGCCCCTTAGGCTTCGCTATGGGTATACTCCTGAAGCATCTTGCTTCCCGCCAGAGAGAACAAAATGCTCCAATCACCTGCCAGTCCCATCTATAAATAGCCCTCTACGGCCCGTACCAACCACTTTTCACTCTGGCGCCACTGAGAGAAGAACTACTCACTACTTGAAGATGTCGTCTCCTTCCCCGTCGCGTCCGAGAACCCCGTCGCCCTCCGGCGTCGGACGAAGACGGTGCAGGAGCTGCAGGACCAGGATCTCCCGCAAGGACCAGCACAGCCTGTGCTTCCTTTGCCTGGGCGTGTCCCACTACCAGGGAGACGAGGCTGGCTGCGAAGCGTGCCTCTCTCTCCCCAGGGAGGAGAGAGAGCGCCGCATGGCGTTTGTGGACTCCGCGGTGGCTCACCCGGGTTCCTCCCAGGGGGACGAACTCGAGGTGGAGTATGTGCCGCTAGACCTGCCTCCCGCACCCAGGGAGTGGGGAGACTGCGTCGTGGAGGAGGAGGAGCGTGAGGAGGATCAGGCTTCCTTCATCACGCTAGACGAAGCTTCCTCCTTGTGCGAGCCGGACCGGTTCCCGCTCGATCACATGCCCCGCCTCTTCATGGCTGCGGCGAGGACCATGGAGACTCCATTCCCCCCGCAACCCGCGCAACCCAGGGAAGACTTCACCTCGGTGGGGTCTTCTCAGAGAGGGAGGAAGAGGCAGGCGCCCACGCTGTGTCCGCGTATGGAGCCGGTGTTCCACTACGCCACACGTGACTGGACCAAGCCCTCCACAGCTAAGAAGCCTGCCCTGGGGTACGGTCCTTACTGTGAGGTCCAGGACTGGTCCTGGTCCAAAGGCGTACCGGAGGTCGAGGATGCGGTGAGGCTGGCGCTCCTCCCCAAATCCTCCCTGTGGCCGAGCAGCAAACCGCTCCTCCCCACCGACAAGGACCGGGTGTCCATGTCGGTACTGGACCGGTGCTACGCCAACGCGGCACAGGTCGTTGCGTTGGCGAGCAACATGGCGCTCTTCACAGGCGCCTTGGACAGGTCACTCGCCGCTGGCGAGGCGCTGAGCGGCGAGGACCTTACCAGAGCCAGGACCACCACGGCAGCGACCCTCCGCATGATCCAGGCGCTCGCAATTGATGGTGGTCGGACGATGGCAGCGGCGCAGGTCGGTGCCCGTCACCTATGGCTGGGGCTTGCTGATGTCCGAGAAGCGGAAAGGAAGCAGCTTCTGGACCTCCCCATCTCCACAGAGTCCCTCTTCGGCCCAGATATGAGAGGTCTGATGGAGAGACTCGACGGAGCGGCGAAGGACTCCGCCAAGTTGGCTCCTCATCTGGCGCCGCGTCAACAACGCCGCTTCTTCGAGAGCAGAGAGAGAGGGAGAGACAGGGACCGGTCCCCGCTACGTCGCCCTGCCTTCCCCCAGACCACTGCACGCTCGGCGCGGCCTGCTCCAGCGAGATCCAGGGGCCAGGATTGGACCTCCGGAGGCCCAAGAGACAGATCTCTCCAGCGTCCTCCCCCTTTCGGTGGTGGGAGACGCGGGGGAAAAGCTTTTTTCAATAAAAGAAAGAATCAAGTTTATCCACTGTCTCAGTCCTCTGTTCCCTTGCACCACATGCCGTCACAGGTAGAGGGCAGTGTGGTCTTACACACAGAGCATACACACGGTACAGAGGGTGGTTTGATAGGAATGTCTCAGACCACCGCTCAGAGTAACAGATCTAGTGTTTCATATCTACAGGGAGTGTTGAAACGCGAGGGTCCCTATAACAGGGGATTTACGGTCCCTTCTAGCTCCACTGTCCCTCACACTTCTCCA